AATGCCACCTTAGCGACCCCTCCCATGCCTTCCCACCAGCCCCTCACCGTGTGCCCTTCCCGCCTCCTCTGGGCGTGTGCTGCGGCTCTGCCTGGCGCCTCCTCCCTCAGACTCCTCCGGAGGCCGCTTCTCCTGGCCCTTCAGGGCTGCGCTCATGCCACCCCCTTCTCTGACCTCTCTGTCTGGAACAGACCCCGGTGTCCTCCGCATATTTGAGTCTCTTCGCAGACACCACCTCTGTCTGTCTTTGTATCTTCGCCGTCTCTCCCTCGACTGTGTGTCCAGAGCCGTGAGGAACCCGTGACTTGTTCCCGCGCCCTGCGCCCCTCAGGGCGGTGACTCCGCTTGGAATGAGCGAGAAGGAAAAGGTGCCTCTTCCACATCCTGAAGTCTGCATTCCATCTTCACAGTCCCCTAGAGGGCGGCCTACCGTGGATGCGTCCCCAGGGCCCGGCCGGCAGGCCGTCTGGAGTTGTTTTTGTGAGTTTTCCCTGAACTGCGCCTTTTCGCTACAGATTTAGAAAGAGAGACAAGAGCTGGAAGCCAAGGTTCATTCAGCGCTAGGTGACCCGAGAGGAGTAATTCTTAGGCCCCAAGCTCGGTCCCCCCGAGGGCATGCAGAGGTTAATGTGGCCAGATAGCCATCACGGTGGGGGTGACCCCAGGCCCCCGGGGCCATAGCCTGGCACGCAGAGCCCTGGGGTCCTACAGTAGTTACGGGAGGCATCTCAGGCCTGCAGGTCACGGGCACTGGGATAAATCCGCCCTGGCCTCCCAGCCTTCCAACTGTGTGCATTTGATCCCCACTATTTTAATCGGAGAAAGGGAGCTCAGTAAGGAAAAGGAATCTGTATTCATTTATCATCATAAGGCTCCTTGCCTGGAAGATTAAAAATAGCCCGTTAAAATGCATGCATGCGTACTTACACGTTTTTGACTTGGTAATATATTTACCCCCGCAGAGGATTCAGAAAATACAGAAAAGGGGTGGATACTGAAAAATAAGTCTCTTGCCCATGCCCGCGTGCCAGCTGCCCCGTTCTCCTGTCCCTCTGGTCCGACCGGATTTCTGTTATATCTTTCCAGAACTTTCCACGGGTGTATTGTAGATGATATTGGGATGTGTTAGGTATTGTACTGTACGTAATTAGAGTCTACTGCTGTGGAGCCATCCTTCTAAGCATTTCACGCGCGTTGAGTCGTGTAATCTACGCTTAGATATAATAGGAAATAATAGGGTAATAGGTTTAAAATTTAAAATGTATCCATAGACGCGGAGAAGTTTCATTTCCACCCCCATGCCCCCATCTGACTTTCTGCCTGCCCTTGCAGACCCTTGTGTCTCCTCACAGTGTTTAAACAAACACCAGCAAATAGGGGTGCCTGGGTGGGTCCATGGGTGAAGCGTCTGCCTTGGGCTCAGGTCTGATCCTGGGGTCCTCAGACTGAGCCCCGCATGTCAGGCTCCCTGTTCAGCGGGGAGTCTGCCTCTCACTCTCCCTCTGCAGCAACCCCTGCTTGTGCTCTCTCTCTGTCAAATACATAAAATCTTAAGAAAAAAAAAAAAAAACAAAAACAGCAAATAGACCTATTCTAATTTTAAGTATTCCCACACAAAAGGTTAAATCCTCTTATACCATTCTGCGTCTTGCCTTCTTCATTAAGTCCATACCCTGGAAAATTTTCCATTTAGGTAAACAGAGCTCTTCTAATTCCTTTATTTACTTTTTTCTTTTAAAGATATGCACAGGGCTGCATTATCAGGAGGCATCCGCATTTGTCTGTCCGTTCCTCTCTAGCTGGGGACTTGATCTGTTTCCCATCTGATAGGAACATTTAGCAGGGGAGTTTTACAAATCGACTAGATTTCCTTCCTCACCTCCTCCCCACACACAAATGCCACCTACGTCTTCAAAACAGAGGACTCCAGTCTGTTTTACTTAAGGAGGATGAAAGTCACCATCTGTTAATTCAATCTGCGTTGTGGAGGAAAAGGAAAATCGTCTCATGGGCATGACATCTCCTTTCAGATCCCACGGAGGGTAGTTCCTGAGGGTCTCCTCCAAGGTAGCACTGGCATCCAGAGCTCCTCCCCACTGAGGTCCTGTTTTGCAAATGCCATCTTTCTGGGTCTAAGAAGCAGGGGAGGCATTTAAGGGAAGGACCCTGAGTAAATCACATGCTGCATGGGAAGGCTAGACAATCAAGCTTGGGAATTTGGCGGGAAGCCAAAAACAGACCAGCAGAGTGTCCCTAAAGTCATGCGAAACCGCAGCCAGCCCGGAAGCTGCCCCGGGGCCACCACTGTCTCCACTGGACACTGCCTCCTCCCCATTCTTGACCAATGGACGAAGCCTTCTCACTTCCCCCTGCACTCTGAATTTCCCCACGTCCTAGCCTCTTTCCCGCCTAATCAGAGTCCCAGCAGGAACCATTTCATGACCCCTACCTACCTCCCAGGGATAGGAGGAAGGCAGGTCTGGTCCCCTAGGCTTCCTAAAAAATCAGACACCAGCCCCCACCATAGTACCCAAGGTGGGGAACTACATCCAAAATAGGGTTGGGGCCTAGATACTGGGAAGCCCCCAAAATATCTGGTGTCGTCTATAGCGTTTATAGGGGCCGTAGACTCGGGCCTTGATACCAGGGACCAGGAAAACCCCTTCACGGCACAGCAGCCTTGGAGGGCCACAGATGTCTAAGAGCTCTGGCAACTGCAACTTCCTACTTAATCGGTGTTTGGGTGTTTTTTTTGTTGTTGTTGTTTTGTTTTAAGCACTAATAGATATTCAGTTTTGCCAGATACTCTCTGCATAGATGGCATCATCATATGATTTTCTTCCTACCTGCTCTGCGAGCGTGAAACCTCTCATGAACAGTCTCTGAACTTGAGCCATTTCTACATTTAGCCGTTATCTACTGCATTTCGAGAGTAAACTCCACTTGGACACAATATATTATTTTTTAAAATGCTGCTGGAATCCGTTTGCTGGTTTAGGTTGGCACACTCCGAAAAAAAATGGAGAGTTCCACTCTGAGCACAAAGCAGTGACGTTTTAAGGATGAGCTTCCCAATCCGAGAGCCTCACTGAGTGTCTTGACTGGTGGCCTGTGGGGCTATAGAACTGGATTTAACATTTTACTGATGTTTAATTTAAGCTAAAGGCTGATACTTGATTCGGTTAGATAACTCGGAAGTATGTTTGGGCAACTTGGGCATAGGGATTTACTTTTTCAGCTGTTTTATGAATTCTACCTACAGAGGAAGCATTTCCCTTAAAAATTTTAGCATCCGGTTTGAGATGTGTTCTAAATGCAAAATAGTGGGGCGCCTGGGTGGCTCAGTCGGTTAAGGGTCTGCCTTCTGCTCAGCCATGATCCCAGGGTCCTCGGATCCAGCTCCCTGCTCAGGGGGAATTTGCTTCTCCTTCTCCCTTTGCTCCTCCCCCCATGCTTGTACTCTCTCTCTCAAATAAATAAGTAACTTTTTTTAAAAGAAATGCAAAATAGCCCTTGAATTTTGAAGGGAGTACAGGCCAGCATCTTTATCATGGCAAATAACTAGGTCTTATTGAGAAATATATATATATTTTTTATGATTTTATTTGACAGAGAGACGTTGAGAGAGGGAATCCAACCGGGGGAGTGGGAGAGGGAGAAACAGACTCCCTGCTGAGCAAGGAGTCCAATGCAGGCTCGACCCCAGGTCCCTGAGATCATGACCTGAGCCAAAGGCAGACGCTTAAATGAGCCATCCAGGTGCCCCCTTAGGTTCTTTGAAATTGCTAGAACAGCTCACAGAACTCAAGGGAACACTTAGGTTCAAAGGATATGATAAAGGATATTTACCAGTAGCTAGATGGAAGACATGCATACGGCCAGGTGTGGGGAAAGGGCCTAGGGCTTCTGTGCCACTCTCTGGACCACCACCCTCCCAGGACGGCCCTAGCTCACCAACCCGGGAGCTCTCTCTGAAGCCAACCAGCCCTCTAGGGGCTCCTGCAGGCTTCATTACATCGACTTGATTGACTGACTCATTGGCCACTGGCTGGTTCCACCTGCAGCCTCTCCTCTCCCCGAGGTCCGGGGAAGGGAGAGTTCCAGCCCTCCCATCCCACGGTTGGTCCTCCAGGCCACCAGCGCCCGCCCTTGGGTGGCATCCAAAAATCACCTCCTTAACTTAACAAAAGATGCATTTATCATCCTTATCACGGGAAATCCCAAGGGTTTCAGGAGCTGTGATCTGGAAACTGTGGATGATGGGAGAAATACGTATTCGGTCATCAGAGGGACTAGATATAGATTTCTTACAAATCACACTGCAATACTCAAACATTCCTTTTTAAAAAAGGGTGGGGAGAGAGGTTCAGAGAGCTTCCTTTTTTCCATTTTCTTCTGTTCTGAATGCTGCGGTCTGTTCCATTGTCCTCTTCATCTCGCTTTGTACCGAAACCACACTCGCTCAAGCATGTGGTTTCATAAGCAAGTCTTTTTTTTTTTTTTTTCAAGTTTATTCAAGTAATTTCTACCCCCAACATGGGGCTCAAACTCATGACCCTGAGATCAAGAGTCGCACACTCTTTCGGCTGAGCCAGCCAGGAGCCTCTGCATTCTTGTGGTCACGCAACCTTCACCACTCCACATTTCCAGAACTTTTTAACATCCCAAACTGAAACTCTGTATCCCTTACACACGAACTCCCACTCCTCCCTGCCTCTCGCCCCTGGCTGGTAACTACGACTCCACTTTCTGTATCCGTACATTTGACTACTGGAGGGGACTCATACAGGTGGAATCCCTCCGTATTTGTCCTTTTGTGATCTGTGTTGTAGCAGATGTCTAAATTTCTTTCCTTTGAAACACTGAGTTTGGGGGTGCTTGGGTGGCTCCGTCCGTGAAGCGCCCGACTCTTGGGTTCAGCTCAGGTCACGATCTCAGGGTCCTGGGATGGAGCCCTGAGTCCGGCAGCATGGTGGGTGTGGAGTCTGTTTAGGATTCCCTCTCTCCTCTCCCTCTGCCCTTCTCCACTCTCTCGCTGTTAAAACAACATCTATAAAAGACAAACAAAACAAAGTTTTTGAGTTCTGGAGAAATTTATTATCCAGCAATGTGTGACTAGTACCAAGATGTAGAGAAATTGATGAATCCGAGAGGGAATATGGGAAGAAAACAAGGCAGGACTTGGTGTCCTGGATGTGGGAGCTGAGATAATCAGTGATGCCCTCGAATTCTGGCTTCTGCTCGCTGGCAGTGTGTGCTGCCCTGGGAACCACAAGGTTTGAAGGAAAGGTCATCTGTGCGCTATAGATGTTTTGAGTTTGGACTTTGGTGTCCTCCAAACGGAGGCACAGCGAGCACTCTGATACATACATTTGGAGCGCAGAGTAAAGATCTGGGTTGTGGTCTAATCCTATGAGTTGCGGTCTGTTCCTATCCAGTGGTTTCCCCCAATTTCCTTCCTTGTAATGAAGGTTTATCTAGACATGTATCTCCCCAAATGAAGACTAGATCCCCCAAGTCTCCGTTAGAGCTCTGCATGGTCATGCAGCGAAGTTCTGGACAATGGCATGTGTTCAATTTCAGGAATACTCCCTCGAAAAGAAGGAAGCATGCCAACCTCTCCCCTTCCCCTCTTCCTGCTGGGGGCAATGCCAACACAGTGGTATGATTGGGTCACATGCTGCATCCCAGACAGAAGCCCTTGTTGAAGAGGACAGAGCAACGAGGGAGACGGTTCCTTGAGACGGTGGAGGTATCATGTCAACCCTGGATTGCTAACTCTTGGACTGCTAGAAGAGAGAGAAGTACATCATTACCTTGCCTGGGTCTGCACTGTCTCATATGGCAGCCGTTGGCCACATGGGGCTACTGAACCCTGGAAACGTGGCTAGCATCATATGCCGAAATTTTAGATGGACTAGATTGTATAAAATATGTTCTTAAAATTAACGCTTTCCTTCTATTTCATTTTAATGTGGTTACCAGAAAATTTAAAATTGCACACACAGCTCCCATTATTGTTGTTATTCGTCAGCCCCTGTGTGAGCCTTTGCCTTCTGCCTTTGCTGAACTAGAGTCTTCAGCCGTGCACGGCTTGTGTACCCACTGGTGCCACCCGAAGTCTGGTGTGTACAGGATCCCCTAGCAAGAGTGGGTCATGAGAAGAGCAGGGGCTCGGGGAGAGTCTTGAGGGACTCAAAGGAGCATGAGCTTGCAAAGAAGCCAGAGAAGGAGCCCAAAGAAGCAAAAGGAAAACCAGGAGAATGATGTGCTACGAGATCCCTGAGAACAGTTTCAGGTTGGAAGGAAATACCAGAAGCTTCAGTTCCCTGAGAGATCAGAAAGTTAAAAACTGGGAAAAAAAAAAATTGTTCAGAGTGATGGGAAACCGTATTAGTTCGCTGAGGGGGGTGCATAAGAAAGTACCGTGGACAGCGTGAGACAGAGATTTACAGAATTTATAGAAGTAAGCAGAAATTTACTTTCTCACAGTTCTGCAAGTTAGAAACCCCAGATCAACATGTTGTCTGGGTTGGTTATTTCCGGAGGTTCCTCTCCTTGGATTGTAGACCACCATCTTTTGCCTGTGTCTTCACGTGGTCACAGCGTGGCTTTACCTAAAGCCATTGAACTATACACTTAAAGATAGTTTAAAAGGTAAACCTTAGGCACGCCTGGGTGGCTCAGTCATTAAGCGTCTGCCTTTGGCTTAGGTCATGATCCCAGAGTCCTGGGATCGAGCCCCACATCAGGCTCCCTGCTCTGCGGCGGGGAGCCTGCTTCTCCCTCTCCCAATCCCCCTGCTTGTGATCCCTCTCACTGTTTCTCTCTCCGTCAAATAATAAATAAAAATCTTTAAATAAATAAATGGTAAACGTTATGCTACATGCACTTTTACCACAATTAAAAAGAACTATCATTTCTTGAAAAGTCAGTGAAAGATTCTTTGAGTGGGAGATACTGACTATCCAAAAAGAGGCAGAATAGCAACAGCAACAGCAAGGATATGAGAAGGATGTACTTAAAAATCACAAAGCTAGGAAGGACTGGGATGGAAATAGAGTCAGCTCTGTGGTTTTAGGAGTCTGAGGGATTCCCAGCCGATGGCTTCTAACATCTCCTAAATAAAGGAGGCAGGTCATAGGCTGAGAATGGTGGTGTGGGAAGGGCTGGAGGCAGAAAGTGTGTCGGAGATTAAAGAGGATAAAAATAGTGCACTTGTCACCATGGAAATGAGAACGAGTTGACTGGGTGACAGCAGTGGGACTGAGGGCCATGTTGAGAGCTCATGGAGTTCAGCCATCACTTACTCACAGTGGAACTGTTCTGCCCTGTAAGGTGACTTTCTTCAGTGACGCTCAGTTGCCTTGGGACAAACTTGGAGAAACAAAACTCCTGGTGGATGGGCTATTTCTTCTCCAAGACTGGGGCCTTACAAAGGTAGAAGGGAAGGGGCGCTTAGGTGGCTCAGTCAGTTAAGTGTCCAACTCTTGGTTTTAGCTCAGGTCATGATCTCAGGGTGGTGAGATCGAGCCCCACATGGGGCTCTGAACTCAGTGGGGAGTCTGCTCGAGATTATCTCCCTCTCCCTCTACCCCTCCCCACCCTCTAAAATCAATCAATCAATCAATCAATCTTAACAAATAAAACGAAGCAAAGACAGAAGGGCAAAGGAGTGTTAGATGCCTAACGTGGCAAAAGTATTATTGAAATGATGGGCCCTGGAATCATATCCAGAGGAAAGAGAGGGTTGGCAAGATGCGGGTTCCTATCAAGCTAAGGAAAGATCACGGTGGGCGCTGCTGAGAAAGCAAGGTGGAAGGAGAAGTGGTTAAGGTCCAAGGGGTGTGCAAAACTGAGCAAATGGAGATGGGAGCACCATCAACACCCTCCCATCATGGGACAAACAGAAACACAATGATATTTTTACAGCTCATTGAGGTAAACAGATAAGCCTGCCACAGACAGGGGCACGCAGGCACTCTGAAGGCTGAGGAAATCAATGTCCCCCAGCCCACCTGTGACCTGCTCTTGGCACATCAGTCAGGAAGCTCTTTAGAGAATGTCAGGAAACCATGTGGAAAAGGAGGGCAAGTGACCAGGAGGTGACAAAAAGGTGGTATGTCCAGAGAACACGCTAGGGGGTATTTCTTTCTGTCTTTTAAGATTTTATTTATTTTACTTATTGGGAGAGAGAGAGAGAGAGCACCAGCAGTGGGGTGGGCAGGAGGAAGGGCAGAGGGAGAGGGAGAAGCAGTCCCCGGCTGAGCAGGGAGCTCCATGTGGGGCTCCATCCTGGGATCCCAAGATCACGACCGGAGCCAAAGGCAGACGCTTAACCAACTGAGCCACCCAGGTGCCCCAGGGGTGTGTTTGTTTCATTGGAGGCAAAAGAAGAACACTTAAAGTTGTTGCTTTGGGGTGCCTGACTGCCTCAGTGGTAGAATATGTGACTCTCAATCTCAAAGTTAGGAGTTCAAGCCCCATGTTGGGTGTAGGGGAAAAAAAGGAGGAGGAGGGAAAGAAGAAGAGGATGAAGGAGAAGAAGAAGGAGGAGGAGGAGGAGAAGTTGTTGAAGTTGTTGTTGAATTTGCTTTGATAGGGGAATTTGGTTTGCTGATTGTGGAGAACTTCTAGAGGACTTAAAGCAAGGGTTTCTGACAACTTGAGGAGGGAGGTGCTGGAGCGGGGTGGTGGTGACTGAGAGAGCCACTGTCTAAGAGTTTCCCTCCTAGATGGTGCCCAAGTCATGGGTTTCCATCATCTCAAGAAACCCAACCTCCCTGGGGAAAACTGAGATCTGGACACACAGGACCCTAATTCTTCCCCACTTCCATGACGTTCACTACTGGAAATACAGGACACCGGCAGGGTAACCCCAACCACAACGACTATTCCAGGTGTGAGCTCCCTGCTGGATGAAATCAACCCAGCCCTTCGCATCCAGAATGGCAAATCCATTCCTCTCTCTCACAGTAGACAGAGGAACTCGAAGCGGTTTGCTTTCACTAGGGATGGTGTAGGTTTAGCCCCAGAGATACATCTACATCCAAATTTCTGGAACCTATAAATGGTGTCTTACTTGTGAAAAGGGTCTTTGCTGATGTGATGAACTTAGGGATCTTGCAGAGAAAAAAAGGGAAAGGAAAGAAAACCCAGTGGTAAAAGTCCTAATATCCTAAAAACGGAGGTGGGGGGTGGGGGGATATTTGAGACAGACTGAAGAGAAGAAAAGCCTCCAGAGTGAGGCCCTGTTGATAATTCGATTTCAGACTTCTGGCCTCCAGGACCACAAGAGAGTAAGTTTCTGCCTCCTGAGTCACCAGGATTATGGTAGTGTTCCTGTAGCCCCAGTAAACCGCCACAAGTCACACCTTCCCCGGGGGTCACACTAATTCTCTGACTATTCTTTGAGATAATGGAACCGCATATATGACGCAATGCTGAGACCTGTAGAGCAGGAAGGAGCAGACAGGTACACTGCATGTCTCTCTTAACACACACATGCCAGAGCATGGGAGATAAACACCCTGAAAACCGGGGAGCCTGTCGCCTCAAGGAGGTTCCTGAGAATCAGGCTGTCTGAGGACAGTGGGAACATCCCATTCAGATGAAGCTAACTTCACTACTAACAAATGAGATAAAATCTCCACGGGAGGAGGCATTCCTTAGGCTGCTTTGTGCTCACACAGGAGGCACTTGTATTTGTTGACAATGACTTCAAGTTTCAAATTGGACCTGGAGTATGTAGGGAAAGATCCGTGTGATATTGATACAACAGGGCTCCCTAAGAGCCTTGTAAATCCTGAGTGGTGGGGGGGAGAGGAGACTCCTCTGTGCAATATAAGCCCCTTTCAATCATACCTGAGTTTATGCTCATGAGATGAGTCTAGGTGAGCCCTTAGGTGGCTCAGGATGGGGCTGACTGCCTGAGAAACCAAGCCTGTGATTGGAAGGTTGGAATTTTCAGCCCCACCCCCCAGGAACTTGATTGGAACTTGATTGTGGAAAGCCAATGATTTAATCAACCATCCCATGTAACGGAACTTCCATAAAATTCCTAAACAGCAGGGCTCAGAGACCTTCCAGGTTGGTAAAGGCATCAGGGAGCTGGGAGGTGGTATGTCTATATGGAGGCTCAGCATCTCTCCTCCCATACGTTGCCCTACAAGTCTCTTTGGCTGTTCTCTCGAGTTGTATCCTTTGTAATAAGTCAGTAATACTAAGTAAAGTGCTTTCTTTCCTTTTTTTTTTAAAGATTTTATTTATTTATTTGACAGAAAGAGATCACAAGTAGGCAGAGAGAGAGGAAGAGCAGACTCCTTGCTGAGCAGAGAGCTCTATGCGGGGCTGGATCCAAGGACCCTGGGATCATGACCTGAGCCGAAGGCAGAGGCTTAACCCACTGAGCCACCCAGGTGCGCCTGTAAAGTGCTTTCTTGACCAGTGCTGAGCCCCCTACATGGTAGGTTTCCTAGGGAGACCAGCCAAATACCTGGTCACTTGAGAATTATGTTGGGCTCTCTCCATCATGAATTGAGCAATGACTTTTTCCTCCCTGGAATAATTAAATCTGGGTTGTTACTTGCTTTCTTGGCCTTACTCACTCCTGCCAACAGCAGCATCTGTGCGCCCACTGAACGGCCCTATTCGCTGTCACGTTGACTCACACGTTACTGCTTCTGATCAAGGAACCCCATTTATTATTAGGAAGTCAGTGGGCAGCCCATGTACCCCATCACCCCAAAGTGAGCTTCACAAAACAGAGGTACAGCCCATTTGGGAAAGCATCACAGTGCCAGATGGGAGACAACGTCCTTGGTGTGTGTGTGTGGGGGGGCTACAGGATGGACAAACACTCGGAACCAGGGGCACATGCATGGTGCCAAATTATACCATCCAGGAGCCCTAAGGTATCACTTCTCAAGATCACACCCGGTGACTCATTCTTTCAATGTTTGTTTCCTCTTCCTGCCACCCTGAACTCTGCTGTTTTGGGGTTTTCGTGCCTAAAGGAAAACACTTCCCCCAGAGAGCACAACATAGTAAAATTGTGGGACTGGAGGCCGCCCCTGGACTATTTGTGGTATCTGAGGAGTGCGGCTATGGGGTCAGGCAAAGAGGGTGACTGACTGGGGCAGGAAGGAGGGAGAGACGCCTCTGCACCGGGGGCCAGGGAGGTGTGTGAGTGGAACCTGGAGGTGTGTGAGTGGCAGCTCGCACCGGGTCCTGACCCCTCAGGCAGGGCCGGATGCCTGGGGCACGGAGACCCCTTCCCCTATGCAGGACCCAGAATGACAAGGAGGGTCTGTGCCTATCCCCTTTGCGGGGGCACAGACGTGGGCAGGCAAGCTCCTCATCCCCCGCCATACCGCCGCGCTCGCCGCTTCCTGGCGCCCGCCCGCCCCTCCCACCTCGGCAGGGCGTGCAGTCTGCCAGACAGGCTCCCGGACCCCGTCCGACCACCCCACCCCGCCGCGACTTGCGCGGCTGCCTTGCTAGCTTAGCTGCCCTTCTGGAAGGCACCCAGCGGCAGCAGCGCCCCGTTAGCTCGGCGTGGTGGAGCCGCCGCAGCCGCAGCCGCCACCAGGCCCCGCCCAGAGGCAGCCGCGAGCGAGGCCGAGCCAGGGACGACTGCAGAGCGCGGTGAGTGAGCAGGGCCAGCGGGGAGGGACCCAGGCGTCCCGGTCCCCGCCCCTACCCCGGGCAGGCATCCCGACCTTCAGCTTCAGCTTGCTTCCCCATTCCGTCACTCCGTTTCAGGGCCCCAGAGCCGGCCTAAGAAAGGACCCCACAGCCCCTCCCTGTTCTGGGCCTCTGGCAGTCCGGCGCCTCGGGCCCCTCCCTTTTTGCCCAAGCCGGGAATCTGACGCCCCTTGCCCCCCAGCCCGGTCCTCCAGGAGCTCCCGAGCCCCTCCCTCAATCCGGGCGCCAGGAATGCAGGCCAAAAATATCCTTGGGTTCCAGTCCTGGGAGGCTCGGCTTGCAACCACAGCGGAGCAGATGAAGACCCGGGAGTCGGAGCTTCCATTGCTTTTTGCTCCAAGAATCTAGGCCCCCAGCCTAGGCGTCCTTTGGAACCTGGGAGGCCGTGCGTTCCACTCCCACCGCCCTAGATCCAGGCGTTTTGCTATCAGCAGCCTTTCCCCTGCCCCCATCGACTGTGACATCTGGGACCCAGGAGTCCCGCCCACCAATCCCTAACACCGCGAGCCCCAGTATAAATGAGGATTTGGGAACCCAGGAGTCGGGGATCTCAGCCCAGAAGCCCCTCAAACCCTAGGGATCGGCAGCCTCAACTATTTCGCCTTTCAGAGACGCAGGAGACAGAGACCGTATCCCACAGATCCCATTAAACGGAGAGGCCTGGTCTCCCAGCCCGCCGCCACCCAGATGTCCAAGATTCCATCCGTCCTGGAAGAGCGGGGCTGGAGCAGACGGGGATGGGAGGGGGCCGGAAGGGAGAGGGAGAGTGGAGTGAGGTGAGACTGGGGTGGGGACCTGGGCTGGGGGCTCCGTCCTAAACAGACGCTAAACAGGCGGGTTGCCATGGCAACGGCCTTCCCGGGCCGCGCCTGGAGACCGCGCTAAGGCCGAGTCGGGGAGGGCGGCCCCCAGGAGCCCCCACACCGCCAGCTGTTGTGTCTTCCTGTTTTGTCACCACGGCAACAGTGACCTCAGCCCTCCACCCCCACCACTGGCTTGGCGGGGGAGTCTCGGTCCATTTTACGCGGGGAGGGGCGTGGTCTTGTATTGGCCCCGCCTCGGGGGGTGGGGCTGGGATATCCCTCCTGGTTCCGGGAGTCCCTTTCTCAGCCCGAAACCCGCGCTCCCGCAGGGTCCCCGGCCCCGCCCCCGGCCCCGCCCCCGCCCCAGCCCGCCAACCCCACCCAGTAAGCAAACCCTTACAGACTGCTGCTGCTGCTGCTGCCGCTGCCTGAGAGGTGAGGCTGCAGGGACCCCCCGGCGTGGAAACTGCGGTCAGGATTCCTGGGTGCTCAGGGAGGAAGGGGCTGGGGTCCCGAGTGTCTGAGTCTCTAGGCAGAGTGGGGCATGGATCAGGACTCGGGTTCTGGAGACGACAGGGCTTGAGACCTGCACTCATACAGGTCATCCATACGAAAGAGGAGGGGAACGGGAGGCCCTGACTCCTGCGTCTGAGGAAGGAGCAACTGGGGGCCTGGACTCCAGAATCTGAGGGAGGAGGGGCTGGGGCCGTGATTCCTGGGTCTGAGGGAGGAGGGTCTGGGAACCTGGACTCCTGGGTCTGAGGGAGGAGGGGCTGGGGCCTAGACTCCCGGGTCTGATGGAGGAGGGACGTGGGTGTCTGGACTCCTGGGTCTGATGGAGGAGGGACGTGGGTGTCTGGACTCCTGGGTCTGAGAGGGATGGGGACCCCTATGTGCCCTGGCTGAAGGGGGTTGATATCTAGTACAAGGTCTTCAGGAGGGGAGGAGCTTGGAGTTGGAAGTTTGGGTTTGGGAAAGAGAATGGCCTTCCACGCTCCCCACCCCTCCGTTCTGGGGACAGAATTCGAACTTTGGGCCCCAAACGCCAAAAAGGGAGGACTGGGAAGCTGGTGTCCTAAGCCGGAGAGAAGCCAAGGCTGAGGCCAGCGTCCTTGGGTTACTGACAGTGGAGCAGGCTAGGGTTTAGGGACGCGATTCTCATTTTGAGCGACGGGGTGTGGTGTTTGGCGTGGAGGTAGCGAGAGGGGATGGGCGTGGCCGGGGGGAAGTCCTGAACCGGCCCGGAGAAGCCGAAGGGGTGTTTCCTCTCTCTCCGGCTGTCTCCGGCTGTGCATTCCTGAGTTCTGACCTCAGGCGGCGGCCGCCGGGCGGAAGGCGACGGACCCCTCCCCTCCGCGCGGTCCCTGCGCTACCCACCTCCTTCCTTGGGGCACTTCTGTGTTGTTGTGGCTCGCGCTCTTCCTCCTTGCCTGCTTGGGACCCGGCAGTACCCGCTTTCTAGAACGCCAGAGTGTAGGCCAGTCCTGACTTCCTCCTAACGGGTTTTCGAAGGGCGTGTCGGGGGAGCAGGAGGCGGCCGAGCCCCGGGTAGCACCTCCCAGGTGGCCCGGGAGGCCCAGCCCCTACCCATAGACCTGACTTCCGAGGGGTGGTGGGAGGTGTGGCTACCAATCTCTGGCCCGGATTCCGACACCGCAGTTCCGGCTTCGAGGGGCTGGCGGGGCGGGTGCGGTAGGGGGGTCAGCTAAGCAAATCCCAGGGGTCCGGCTTCCCAGCCAGTGGTCTCTCACAGACCCTCTTGGGTCCAGGCTCCCAGCCCCTGCTCTGGGGACCCAGAACTCACATTTTGAAGGACCCAGAAATTCAGGCTTCGGGCCTCACGTCCTAGGTGGACCTTCCTCTCCCAAGATCCACGAGTGGGGCGGGCCCTCCCGAGGCCGGCGGGGGTGCGGAGGTCCCAGCACCGCCCCGCCTCCCTCCGCCCAGGTCCCCGCCACATTCCAGATGGCTGGGCTGACTTGAAGCCCTTATAAGGCCCGGAGACGCTGCGCGGGGCCTGGCCGTCCGCCCCCGCAGCCACCGCCCAGGGCCCTCCCGCCCGTCCGCCCCGCGGCCTTCCTGGGCTGCGGCCGGGTTCAGATCACTCACAACCCCCGCCCGCCCGCGGGCGTGCACTTTCTCCGGTTTCCCTCCATTCCCGCCCACGCAGTTTGGGGACTGGGGAGGGAGAAGGGGGTGGGGCTCGCTGCGGTCACCTCCGGGACCTCTCCCGGCTCGCGGCCAGATCCCCGCCTCGGCTGGGAGGGCGCCCGGCCTGCGGAGCCTGGCTGCGCGTTCTGGGCAAGCCCCAGCGGCGGGCGGGCTGGTGGCCTGGGTCCCGGCGGGGCGGAGCCATAGGGAGCTGGGCGCTGACTCTCTCTCTCCCCCTCCCTCCTGTGTTCTGACCAGCCTTTTCCAGGTGTCGGACGTAATCCAACTCCAGAGCCGGATCTTTAGCCATCGGGGTTCTCCGCAGAGACCGCAGGTGAGTGAGCCTGGACTCCGCGTCGGAGGGGAGAGGGGCTGGGGGCCCGGACTCCTGGGTCTGAGAGAGGAGGGAGCTTCCCACCTAGACTCTGTGTCGGAGGGAGTGGCATCTGGGGCCTGGACTCTGAGATTCCGAGAGAAGGACCTTGGAGCTGGGTTTCCATGGAAAGAGACCCAGACACCTGTTTACCTGGGAAAACAGTGTATCCAGGAAATGGGCTCCCAGGTCCTTGGGACCTCTTGCAGGGACAGCTGGGCAAGCTAGAACCTGTTCTACTGTCCTATAGGCCCTCCCGTGCCTGCCCATGGAAGGAGGAAGTTTTATTTCCCTGCAGCTGAGAGAAGCCTTCTGAGCTTTTTAGGGGTGGAGGGTAAGAGGGTAGATGTCAGAGGCCTGAGGGAGGATTTGGACACCAGGTCCCCAACACACTGGGCCCTCTCTCCCTGAGGGTCTCTAGGACAAGGAGATAGAAGTTGTAGGTTCTGGAGAGACAGAAAAAAGAAGCTGATCTTCTAGACTGCAGGTGTCTGGTGAACTCAAGGCCCATGGCCCAGAGTCCTGAGGTCTGAAGCTCTGTAACCAGACGTGAGAGGCCTGGGGATTTCAGTGGAAGGGGCTGCGGCACCAGACAGTAGAGAATCCGGAGTGCTTGAGTTTCTTGGAAGTTAGGGAACTTGGAGATTGGACTCCATGTGGGGGAGGGGCATAGGCAGAAGGAAGCTCAGTGTCCTTGGGGGTAGTACTCCAGCCCGATATCCCAGGTGGGTTGCGACGGAGGTCACAGACCCTTGATCTCTTTGGTAGAGGGTGGACTTGAGAGGGCATGTTCCCGAGAGCTGAGCCCCAGTTCCAGAGACAGGCTGGGAGTTCAGGAGCTCTGATCACATGTGGGTCCCTGAGAAGGTTCCCACATGGAGGTTGGACTCTTGGATGTCTGGAGGCTGGAAATGCCTGTTAGGTGAAGGAAGGCAGGTGTGCGCAGGAGCAGGTATGCGGAGCCCTGGGTACTCAGAGGGAGGAGGTAGAGCACACAAAGCAGGGCCTCTTGTTCTGATGCATGGTTGAAGATGTTTTAGAACAGAGTCCTGAGTGGCTGGGTGGCTGATCCCTGGGGGACTGATGGCAGCTCTGAGTGTCTGGGGGGGGGGGCGTTGAAAGATAGATGGTTTTACAATCGTTGGGTTGCAGAGAGAGGAGAGAGGCAGCCTAGACTCCTGGGTTCTGACAGGGGAGGTGGGGAATCCAAGTCCAGAGTGGAGAGGGGTCTGGGACCTGGGTGACCAGCTGATCCCCATAGGCCCGCAACTGTACCACTTTGAAAAGCCTGCACTCTCGGTGCCCCCCAGCTAGCCTCCAGGTTACTTTGTGCCCCTGGGGGGAGGAAAGGCCGAGGGCCTGGATTCCCACATTTGGAACCTTCTTAGGACACTTCCTTTCCCTCCATCCCAGCCATGCCGGTGACCGTGACCCGCACGACCATCACGACCACCACGTCGTTATCCTCAGGCCTGGGCTCCCCAACCATCGTGGGGTCCCCTCGAGCACTGACCCAGCCCCTGGGCCTCCTCCGCCTGCTGCAGCTGCTGTCCACCTGTGTGGCCTTCTCCCTGGTGGCCAGCGTGGGCGCCTGGACAGGGCCCATGGGTAACTGGTCCATGTTCACTTGGTGCTTCTGCTTCTCTGTGACCCTCATCATCCTCATAGTTGAGTTATGTGGGCTCCAGACCCGGTTCCCCCTGTCCTGGAGAAATTTCCCCATCACCTACGCCTGCTACGCCGCCCTCTTCTGCTTGTCGGCCTCCATCATCTACCCCACCACCTACGTCCAGTTCCTGCCCCACGGCCGCTCCCGGGACCACGCCATCGCTGCCACCACCTTCTCCTGCATCGCTTGCGTGGCTTATGCCACTGAAGTAGCTTGGACCCGGGCCCGCCCCGGGGAGATCACCGGCTACATGGCCACTGTGCCAGGCCTGCTCAAGGTGCTGGAGACCTTTGTGGCCTGCGTCATCTTCGCCTTCATCGGCGGCCCCTCCCTGTACCAGGACAAGCCAGCCCTGGAGTGGTGTGTGGCTGTGTACTCCATCTGCTTCATCCTGGCGGCCGTCGCCATCCTGCTGAACCTGGGCGACTGCACCAACATTCTGCCCATCTCCTTCCCCAGTTTCCTGTCGGGACTGGCGCTGCTTTCCGTCCTTCTGTATGCCACGGCTATTGTGCTCTGGCCGCTCTACCAGTTCAGCGAGAGGCACGGAGGCCAACCCCGCCGCTATTCCGACGTGGGCTGCAGCCACCGGCACGCCTACTACGTGTGCGACTGGGACCGCCGACTGGCCGTGGCCGTCCTCACGGCCATCAACCTGCTGGCTTACCTGGCCGACCTGGTGTATTCGGCCCGCCTGGTGTTCGTCAGGGTCTGAGGCTCTGACCATGACCGGCGCTCTCAAGTCCCATTTGTTGGCCGAGGTTTCTTTTCCCAAGTCCTCCTTTCCTCTTCCTGGCTGCCTCTCTCCTGCCTTTCCTGTTTCCTTCCCCATCCATCCTGCTCTTCACCATTCCTTTAGCTTCCTGCCTCTCTCCTGTTGCTCTCGCCTTTCCTTCCTGTTTTGTTGGGTTGCCCACATTCTGTTTTGCTTGTTTGCCTCTTTCTGTTTTCACCTCTTCTTTCCTCCCTGTTCTGTCCCAGCCGCCTCTTTCCCAGTCTCTTTCTTCAAATTTCCTTGGGAGCTCTGAGACTTCTCTCTTCTCTGCCTCCACCCCACTGCCCCCCACTTCCAAAGGTGCTGAGCTCCGTGTCCCACTTCCCTCTCCTGCAGCTGTTCCCCCCCTGGGCCTCCCAAGGGGCCTCATTGCCAAAGCATGCCTACCCGCCCTGGCTGTGCCTTAGTTGGTGTGTACATGTGTGTTTGTGGGGGTGGGGTGGGCAGCTTGAGAATGGGGCTCCCTTTCTCCCAGTGTAGGGGGTGCGTACAGTGCATGCCCCCTTTCATCTCTGGAGGCCAATGATCTCCAGCGGGCATGAGGCTTCAAGCACAGGGCCCGGGTCCATGGGCCTTGCCTGGCCCCCAGCCTCGCCTGAGACTGGCTCCAGAACTTTGGCCAGGCTTACTAACATCCCACTGCCTGGAGGCCATCTTACAGGAAGTAAAGGGTGGAAGCCTCCCACCCAACTGCTCTCTGGGTTATTGAAAAAGTGGTGGCCAGCAAAGAACCATATGGTCTTAAGGACGACTGTCTAAGTGTTAGTGGAGGGGGAGGGCAGGGATATGGCCCTCCCATCTCAGTGTTAAAAACAGCATATACTGCCTTTGCTGGGAGAAGAGGTTGGCTACCTGCCCGCCTTAAAGGCAGGCAGTGTGAACCTGGGTTGGTTGGTTGGTTTGTTTTCCTTTTCTGGTCACAAGGGCAAAACGTCCTGGGTGGCCCTCTTCTAAAAGGGAAGTTTCTTTTCAATGTGTTTTTCTTGGGGGTGGGTGGGTTGGGTAGGTGGGGGTGCCATCGCCATAGAGGAATTGCTTGCTCAAGTGTGGTGCATGCACGCACACACACACACACACACACACACACACGTGTGTTTCTGCATGCTAGTTGCTTCCTGTAGCTGCTTCCTGCTTCTCTGGGACTCACATGTGCAACGTCATATATATAAATGTATAAATATATATTTTTTATTTTTTTTTAATTCCCTGGAGCTTCTGGTTCCCATCAGTCCCTGCCATCAACTACAGAGGGAAGACTTGTCCATTCCCTCACGCCCACATCCATGTTTTGTTTTTTTGTTTTTTTTTACATCAATATAAAGATAAAAGAAAAACTGTGCTTGCTTTATTGCTGGGGAGGACTCCAGGAGAGAGGGCAAGGTCCAGATTCTTGGGTCTGGTGGGAGAGGGGGCCTGGGACCAGGCCAAGACAACTTTGGCCTTTGGATCTCCCAAAGCCAGGAGAATTAGTTAGGATTGAAATGAATGAGATTGGTCCCTCCTTGGAATCCCATGAGCAACTCCAGAAACAGTGTCCCCATCTGAGTGCAACATTTTTCCCCCCAAAATCAACTCCTCAGGTTCCGCTTCTCAGTAATAGGCTCCCCAGCCTGCAAACCCAGGCTCTGGTTCTTCCCATCCACTCTATCTGTTGCTCACCAGACACTGTCTAGTCTTCCTCAACTGTCCCCAATGCCAGCTCCTGACCCAGCTCAGGTATCATTTTGTCCTGAGCTAGTACCCCAGGCTCCCTCCTGCCCACTCTGGCCCAGGGGGGATGCTTCTAACCTCTGACACTGCCCTTCCCGGCTCCAATCCTGTATGTGCCTACAGGTGATACCAGAGCTCCTCTGGGACTTGAGGATCTGGCCCTGCCTGCATTCCCACCAGCTCCATCTTACCCTCAGTTCTAAGCTCCCTGACACAACCGGTCCACAGAAGACCTCGATAAAGAGCAAACGAATTACTCTTACAATGAGTCTCTGTCCTACAGAAGGCCCTGTTGCCTGAGGAGAGTCACAAATACATAAACATAAATCCGCAAAAATCCCAGGATCAAGCAACCCATCCTCTGCACTTACACCCGCAAGAGCAGTTGGCGAGCGCTACGTCCAGGGAGGTTCCCCGGAGAGAAGGAAGGGCCACCGGGAGCAGGCGCACTCCTTTTCCAGGAGAGGCCTTCTTCTGAGCTCTGCGGCGTCCACCCCGGAATTCTGACCCACACCAAAGCCTGCCTCCAGCAAGGGCGCCTAGCCCCGCCTCTCCACCCCATGCTTGAACCCCTTCTGGAAGGGACCAGAGAGAACAGCTCTAGGACCCGGGGGTGATGTGTTGGTGATGCGGGAAAAGCAGCCAAGCAGGGAAAGGTGGGATCCTTAGGTCCGTTTCCAGGGCCGCCCCCCCCCCCCACCATATCCCTGCCCTTGGGAAGGCCGGGCACCTGGAGGTGGGTGGCAGGCAACAGCACCCCACTTCCGAGGGGCTTGGAGAAGAGCCTGATTCCCTCACCTCCCCTTCTGCTTCGGGAAACCGGCCCGGGACCTCCAGAATTCCCAAAGAAGGTGCGGCGGGCGGGGTCCCCAGGCGCCGCGGCGGCGCCCCGCCCCCGCTCGCGGGGCTCGCCGGGAGAGGAAGTTCCCGACCGCGTCGCCACAACAGGTGGTCGGCAGGCTCAGACTCCAAGTCCCAGGATGCACCGCACTCCGCGGCCCGCGGCGGGCCGTGGTTGCCCTTGGCAACAGAGCGGGGCCCGGGCGCCGGGAACCCGTATCGTCGCGTGTCGGGGGAGGGCCGGGCGGAGAGGGGCAGGGGCGCGGGCGGAGCGACGGAGCCGGAACGGGAGCCCCACTGGGCCGACGTGCGGAGGGCCGGAGTGCACAGGGTTTTCCAGGGTCAGGGAGGCCCGGGGAGGGCCGGGGAGACCCCCAGGCACGGGGAGAGGTTCCTAGCCAGAGAGGGTGAGAGAGGGATCAAGCTGGGGGCCGATGAGCTCGGACCTTCGGAGACCCCCGGCGACGGAGGGAGCGGCTGGCAGAGCCAGGGAGTGGGTCAGAGAGAGCGACGAGCACAGGGAGGTTCGCGGACACAGCCGGGGAGAAGGAGGGCGGAGGGGTGGGGGGACACAGAGACTGGCTCTCAGAGAGGAAGACGCAGAGGGAGGGGACACGGAGGCCCACAGTCACAGCCCGGCGGAGAGCGGCCGAGAGAGAGCCCAGAGATAGACAAAGAGAGGCCGAAGACGGGACGTATGAGACCTCCGCCGCCGAGAGGCCGAGGGACACTGATTCCCAGTGAGACAGACGCCACAGAAAGAGCGACGCCAAGACCCCGAGAGGGTCACAGGATGGCCACGGGCATAGATGGAGACACAGAGCAAAACAAAACAAAACAAAACAGAGAAATAGAGGCAAGGGACAGGGACAGAGACATGGGACAGGGAGCCAGTAACACTGGCCAGGGACAGAGACACGGGACAGGTAGCCCGGAACACAGGGACACAGGACAGGGAGCCAGCAACACTGGACAGGGACAGGGACAGAGACACGGCACAGGGAGGCGGGAACACTGGGACAGGGACACAGGACGGGGAGCTAGCAACACTGGGACAGGGACACAGGACAGAGAGCTGGGAACACTGGACAGGGACAGAGACACGGGACAGGGAGGTGGGGACACTGGGACGGGGACACAGGACCGGGAGCCGGCAACACTGGACAGGGACAGAGACTGAGAGAGCCAGGGGCAACCCCAGAGGGAGACACGGACATAGAAATTTCACCCACTCCCAGAGAGAAATCAAGACTTGAAGAGCAGCAGAGACAGCAGGTCTCCGCGTCCACCACTGGGTCCCCAGCACTGAATACAAAGTTTGTGTAATGAAGCAGAGTGACACCGTCAGAAACCCAGGGATCCGAGTGCAGTCTCAGCGGGCTCACGGGACCCACCGAGGTCCCAAGTGGGGAAGGACGCCCGGCCGGGGCGACAGATGGAGGTGGAGGCAGGGCACTGCTCAGAGGATGCCCCCTCCCTCCAGCCAGCCCCCAGAGTGGGTGTGCGCACGTGTGTGTCGGGGGCAGGGCGTTTGTCCCGAGTCTCAGGGAGGGGGGGACGCCTTTAAGCTGAAACCCCGCCCCTCGGTCGTCATGGCAACGCCTCCCCCCAGCAGGGGCTCCCACATTTCAGCAGGTGCCTGAGCCGGAGCTCCCGCCGCCGCCGCCGCCCTTGCCTCCGGCTCCTCGGCGCCCCTGCCCTCGGCTCTCTGCCCTGCCCGCCCGCTCCCCCTGGTGGAGCCGGCGCGCCCCGGGGTGCCGCTCCCTGCCCTGCGCTCCGCGCCTGGAGGTGCCTCGCCCCTCTCCTTTCCTCCTCGCAATCTCCCCGTGGCTCAGTGCTCTCCCGAGTCTCCGGCTCCTCGCCTTTCCACCTGTTTCCCCAGAAAGGCAGGATCCTGGTCCCTGCTACGTTCCTGGGGCCATGGCAGGCCTGGGCCCCGGCGGAGGCGATTCAGAGGGGGGACCCCGGCCCCTGTTTTGCAGAAAGGGGGCTCTGAGGCAGAAGGTGGTCCACGAAGTCAAGAGCCACAAGTTCACCGCCCGCTTCTTCAAGCAGCCAACCTTCTGCAGCCACTGCACCGACTTCATCTGGTGAGGGAAGGGGCTGGGGGCTTGAGGGAAGATGGAAGGAGGGATGGAGACTCATGTCTCCCCAGGCCCCTGAGGGATGGAGAGGGAGAGGCCTGCAGCCCTGGCTTCTGGTCCTAGGGTAGGAAGGGGCTGGGGACTGGACCTCTGAATTTGAGGGAGGAGGGCCTGGGGGCCTGGACTCCTGGGTCTGAAGGAGGAGGGGGCTGGGGACCTGGACTCCTGGGTCTGAGGGAGGAGGGGCTGGGGACCTGGACTCCAGGGTCTGGGGGAGGAGGAGGCTGGGGGTCTGGACTCCTGAGTCCGTGGGAGAAGGGGCTGTGCGCCTGGGCTCCTGAGTCTGAGGGAGGAGGGGGCTGGGGGCCTGGACTCCTGGGTCTGAGGGAGGAGGAGACTGGGGGCCTGGACTCCTGGCACTGAGAGAAGAAAGACTGAGGGCCAGAATTTCTGGGCTCTAGAACAAGAGGCAGCTGGGGTCCTGCTCATGGAGGGAGGAAGGCGCAGTAAAGCTGGCAGAGGTGGGAGGCCCCGTACCCTTTTCTGCACTGACCTCGGATCCTTGATCTTGCAGGGGGATTGGAAAACAGGGCCTGCAATGTCAAGGTAAGACCTGGGGACCTGGACTCCTGGGACCCTCAGGAGGGTGGAGGCTGGGGCCCCACAGCCCAGGAGGCTTGACACACGTGTTCTTTGGTCCCCAGAGAGGCGCGGGGGAGCCCGGGGCGGGGGGTGTGGCAGAGACACAGCCTGCTGTGGGGAGGGAGCTCTGATGGTGGGGCCACCGCGGAGGTGGTGCTGGGGGCCCCTCCCTCGGCCGGCTCCAGGTGGGGACAGATATTTGGAGAATCTGTTGCCATGGCAACAGGGAGATTTGGAAAAGGGGAGCTGAAGGGGGGGGCTGGAGATGCGGAGTCAGAGGCCCCCCCCCAAGCTGTTGTCGCCATGACAACACCAACAGTCCTAGGCAGGGGCAGGCCGGGTGGGGTCACCAATGGGCGGGTGGGGGCCAGGCGGGGCTGACAGTTATGCGGGGTGGGAGAGGGGGGCGAGTCCTGAAGCACCAGCTGCTACTGCTGAGAACAGAGTGAGTCAGGGAGGGGGAGGCCTCCCGCGGCCCCCAGACTCACTTCTGCCCAAGTCGCTGCTCTCTCTGTGCGGTCGGAGGACATTGCTGTTTGCTCTCCGCAGCCTGCCTCTTTCCTTGCTTTCTTGCCTCACCTCGGTGGGCTCGTCTGTCCATGGGATCCTGTTTTCTCTCTGTGTCCCTGGGTCTCGGTCTTTCTCCGTCTTTCTCTGTGTCTCCCTCTGGCTGTGTGTAGGCACTGGGGTCTCTCTGCTCTGTGATGCTCTGTGTCTCTGTTTCTGTCTTTGGGTTCAACCCCCGAATTTCTATCTCCTGGTTTCCCTCCCCCACTCCATGTTGGGGCCTCTCCTTTGATTTTCTATTAAACTCTCTTGACTTTGGGGTCCCCTTCTCTGTGGTTTTCCTTCTGTTGGGGTCTCTCTCTTTCTGAATTTCTGTCCATTGGGCTCTCTCTCTCTGTCTCTGTGTCTCTATGATTCTCACCTTCAGTCTGCAGCTTTGTGGTTCATCGACGATGCCACGAATTTGTGACCTTCGAGTGTCCAGGCGCTGGGAAGGGCCCCCAGACGGATGTGAGTGCCCGGACACCTGATTCTTCCTCCTTGGGCCACGCCCCCGCCCTCACCCCCTCGGCGTCCGTCCCAATTTCTCCTGCTATTTTTAAGGCTGGGAGGGGAGGGGGGCTGGAGAGATAGGGGGAGCTAGTCTGGCCCAGATTCCCTGCCCTTGGCCTGGAAAGGGGAAATGAGAGGGGGCTGAGAAAGGCTGGGGACACAGGTGGGGGACAGAGAAGAGGCAGTGGGAAGGGGACTGAAGATGAGCATTGGAGGGGGTGGGCTGTCATCCAGGGGTCAAGAGATTAAAAAAACAGAGAGTAGAGGGACAGAGAGAGAGACAACCATTGATGCAGGCACGGAGGTAAGGCAGAGAGAGAATCTCAGAAATGCAGAAAAAGAGACCCAGAGAGAGTGAGACAGAGAAAGAGGAATGGAACAGAGACAGCAACCCAGGAGGGAGGAAACCAGGAGCCACAGGGACTGAGACAGACAGAGACAAGAAACTCAGAAAAGCAGAGCTGCAGACACCCAGAGAGACCCACTAAGGTAGAAGATGGCAGATACCGAGAATGGTTTCTGAGATGCCAAGAGGGAGGCCCAGGGGACCTGCAGTGCACACACGCACAAAACCCCCAGGAGCACACACAGGTGCACATACAGCTTCCCTCGTGCGCACACACAGATCCACACCACCTCTGTCTCTCTCTCCCTTTGCTTCCCATCCGGGGGATGTCAGGTGGGCTTCCAAGAACAGCTGACGCTGTGGCCCATTCCCGATCCCTCCTTCGCTTTCTGTCTGGCCTTAGGGCTCTTCTCTCTGAGCCTCCATTTCCCCTCTATCCAGTATGGCAGCCGCCAGCCACGCCCAGCTAGCTGGAGGCGCCCTTGGGAGGGGCTACCAGGACTGAGCAAGGGAAATCTAAATTCCATTTAATTTGAACTGATGGAAATTTAAATAGCCACATGTGGTTAGTGGCTACGGGCTGGGACAGCAAACACCCCCACCTACCCCGGCTTGTTTTGATAGTCCAACAAAGCCCCGAGGCTTGAGGGCCTAGCCCAGGGTTTGACATAGCGTTCGAGCCCGCTTTATGATTAGCCGATGAAGAAAGGGACAGAATGAGAAGCTGAGAGAGAGAGAAAAAGGGACAGAGAGCTCTCCAGAAGTCCTTGGGACATTTTGCCAGCTGGTTAGGTGATGAAAGTTGACGTTTATGTAGAGGATGTGATGGCGTAGCACATACATTGAGCACCACTGTCTACTGGCCGCCATGTATGTCACTGGTTGGCCGCCTCACCTGCCCGCCTGCATCCCCCACGCGACTTCTGAATTGTCCAGGGCTCACTGCACGCACTCAGCAGGTGTCTTTCAGGCGGTCCAGGAATGAGTCCACACAAAGCAGGAGGTGAGGTGTTGTCCCTGTCCCCATCTGAGCCGAAGCCCTGGGCCTGACTCCCAGTTCGCCCACATAGAGGTTCTCTGACCTTCCAAAAGTTGCTTTACTTCTCTGTACCTCTTGTTCTCATCTGCACAATGGGGATGACGACCACGCCTACCTTACAGGACGGTTTTGAGGACTAAATGAGTCAAATGCTCGGGATGATAGCTGGGTTCATATGGGTTATTATCCTTGTACAACTGTTGCTGTCACTGATGAAACAGAGGAAGGGGTCTTCACTCTTTTATTTTTTTCTTTCTTAATGCTTTGGATCTTGTTGGCCGTCACATGGATCAAGGGCTAAAGAAATGGCAAGGGCTTGGCGAGCATGATTTCCATTCGGCCCCTTTCAGGGAGGCCTCGTGGTCCCATTTTACAGGAAGGAAGGCTGAGACTCCTCAAGGGGGCGGTGTCCAGGGGCGGGGCACAGAGCTGGGGAGGGGGCAGAGTCCAGTGGGGACGCAGGTCTGTGTACTTAGAGCTGCAGCTCTGTCTCCTTTTTGGTTGTGATTTCTTGAGAATGAGAGCAGCTTACCTCCGTGGAGCGGTGGAGCTTGCGAGTCCGGCATCCTGCTGGGACCTGACATAGTGGAGCGCTTAGAGCAGCGGGTACCCTCTGAGTTAGGGTCAGCGGAAGATCTTTAGAGGCCCCGCGTTGAAAGATATCATCACACCCTACCCCCCCCCAAGTGTCGCTCAAAATAGGATCCCCGCTAAACTGCAAAAATAAATAAAAGCCCAAGAATATCCTGAATTTTCACCCTAGCTCACGATGCATGCCTAGGAAAAGGCAGATACCAAACTACTGAGCACTCAGACATTGCCAGGGGCAGGGAAGGAATGCTTTGTCGGTGCCCTAAATTCATGCTTAATTGGACTCTGGACATTGGGCACTGCTTCAAGATATGGACTGTTGATTTCCACTGGGCAGAAGAGGACCCCGAGGCTCTAAACTGGGCACTATCTTGCCCCAAATCACACAGCTGGTAAATGGCCCAGCTCTTATTTAAACCCAGGGCTCTGTGGACATGGCAATAAAATCATGGATAGTAACCACAGCAACCCAAATGACAGTACTGGGCGCAGTGAGCATGCCAGGCCCTGCTATGCACTTTACACTCGACTTTCCTTCCTTCCTTTCTAAATAATCTCCGCACCCAATATGGGACTTGAACTCACACCCTCAAGACCAAGACTCACATGCTGCCTCGACTGAGCCAGCCTGGCACCCCTACACTTGGTCCTTCGTTAACTGAGAGGTCATATTGTCCATCTCACAAGGGGCTCAGAGAAGGCAGATCAACAGTGGGCAGACCTTGACAGAGGCTGACAGTGAGCCATCTGGAGTTCAACGTGGCCCACACGTCCTTGGAGAGCATGTTTGGGGAGGTGGGCCGAGCGCAGGGACTGTGGAGCGTTAGGAGCCCCACCTCCTTCAGGCTCTGCCCACATGCCACCTTGTCAGTGAAGCCTCTCTTATCAGTCTCTGCAAATTTCAGTCCCCGGCCCTGGCAGTCCCCTTTCCTGCTTCATTTTCCTCCGCAGCACCTGCTACCATCCATCACTGTTTTACTTATTCAGCGTTTATTTTCTGCCCCCCCCCCCCGCACTAGAAAGTAAACTCCATGGGGGCGGGAGTTTTTCGTTGTTTGTCCACAGCTGGTCCTGGCACCAAGAACAGTGCCCGGCACACAGCAGGCACTCCATAAATGCAGTAGAGTGAATGAAGACTGAGAGCGCAAGGCAGAGGAGGCAGAGTTCAAAGGGCTTCCCTCCCAGGGTCTAGGGCGCCCCACTTCCCGGCCCCTTCTAGGGTACCCCCGCTCCTGGCCCCGTCTGATGTCTCCTCTCTGCCCCCAGGACCCCCGAAACAAGCACAAGTTCCGTCTGCACAGCTACAGCAGCCCCACCTTCTGTGACCACTGCGGCTCCCTTCTCTACGGGCTGGTGCACCAGGGCATGAAATGCTCCTGTGAGTCTATGCTTGGGGCTCCTGCCGGAACCTGGCGCTCCGGGGCCTCTTTCAGAGCGCAGTGTCTGGGTTTCTCCGGGTGGGGCTGGAGGATGGAGTCTGGAGTTGGGCGGGGCCGGATGCCCTACCTCCGGTTCTGTCCCCGCAGGCTGCGAGATGAACGTGCACCGGCGCTGTGTGCGCAGCGTGCCCTCTCTGTGCGGGGTGGACCACACGGAGCGCCGTGGGCGGCTGCAGCTAGAGATCCGAGCACCGACGGCAGATGAGATCCACGTCACAGGTGAAGCCCGGCTCCTGGGTCTGGTCCCACCCTTCTGCCCCAGGAGGAAGGGCCCAAGGGGTTCCAACTGTGCCCGCCCAACCCTCCAGGGAGGGCCACGCCCCCTGCGGGTCACGCCCACACTCCTGACCCCACCTGCAAAGGCTGAGCACCGCCCCGGCCGCGCCAGTCCCTTCCAAATGCTCCTTGCAAGTTGACTCTTGAAACTTTGAGCCTTTTTGTTTGTTTTAAGATTTTATCTATTAGGGCGCCTGGGTGGCTCAGTCGGTTGGGCGTCTGCCTTCGGCTCCGGTCACGATCTCAGGGTCCTGGGATGGAGGCCTACATCCAGCTCTCTGCTCTACGGGGAGTCTGCTTCTCCCTCTCCTTCTCTCTCAAACAAATAAATAAAATATTTTAAAAAATTATTTGAGAGAGAATGAGAAAGAGAGCACACAAGCAGAGAGAAGGACAGAGAGAGAGAGAAGCAGACTCCCTGCTAAGCAGGGAGTCCGATGTGGGGGCTCGAACTCCAGGCATGACCTGAAGGCCGATGGCCAACCGACTGAGCCACCCAGGCACCCCCTTTCAGCGTCTCTTAATGGCCACTCTAAATCAAGGTCCTTGAGAGGGAGGGAGGAGAGAGAACCTGATTCGGAGGGAGGTTTGGGGTTACTATTGGTGATATGCCCAGGCCAGGGTCCTCATTCCTGGACCTCAGGGAGGAGGGGGCTCTGAGTCTGAGTTCTGGGTCCCTGGCTGGGGACAGGTCTTTAGGCTGTCTTCTGGATACTGGAGAGGTCAGGCCAAAGACACCTGGGTCGTGAGAAAGGCAGAGAGCTTGGATTTTTGATGGCCAACTGGGGAGACTTTGGGGCCTCTTCCTGGATCTGTAACCCTGTCTACCCTCCTTCACTTCTCCTCTCAGTTGGTGAGGCCCGTAATCTCATCCCAATGGATCCCAATGGTCTGTCGGATCCCTATGTGAAGCTGAAGCTTATCCCAGACCCTCGGAACTTGACAAAACAGAAGACCCGGACGGTGAAAGCCACACTAAACCCTGTGTGGAACGAGACCTTTGTGTTGTGAGCCTCGGGTGCAGGGGATGCTGTGATGGCTGGTAGAGAGGATCTGAGGGTCTTGGTGGCCCACAAGACCCCAGAGAGCAGATGGTGGGAGGTGTTAGGATAGAGGGAACCTGAGAAAAGGGCAGAGAAAGGTGGTGGGAGAGGGAATGGAGTGACTGACAGAGAGGGATGGAGTTATAGAAGCCAATAGAGAGAGATCTGTGCATTTAATATCCATCAAAGCCCACAACTTTAGAGTGAGACAGATATGGAGGGTTCCAAAGAAGAGACACAAACCCAGAGAGACACACAGACAGAATGCAGGGGGGTGGGTGTAAGCAGGGGGGGGGGGGGGGGGTGGCAGGAAGGGAAAGAGAAGCCAATTAATAGAAAGACAGAAGGACAGAGACCCAGAGGAAGGAGCGGCCACAGAGACTCAGGAGAGAGATCTGGAAAGAAAGGACAGGACGCAGGGATGGGAAGGAGCCAAGAATGTGGGAGGAAGGGAGAGAGACTGAGCGCTGTCTAGATGTACTCAGGGTCCCGCTATTGGGGAAGACCCCCTTTGGGAGGGTCCAAGATGACAGGGCAGTTTAGGGAGCAGGAGTAGACCCTAGCTCACCCCAGAAGGACTTGTGTCCTTCTCCAGGACCAAGGATAGGGAAGCAGAGGAGCGGGGAGCTGGACCCTCACTCCGCCCCACCCTTCCCGCAGCAACCTGAAGCCAGGGGACGTGGAGCGCCGGCTCAGCGTGGAGGTGTGGGACTGGGACCGGACTTCCCGCAACGACTTCATGGGTGCCATGTCCTTCGGGGTCTCAGAGCTGCTCAAGGCCCCGGTGGATGGCTGGTGAGGGTGGGGCAGGGTCGCAGGGGTGCCTCTGCATCTAGGTCTGTGTGTGGTCTCTCTCCTCTGGACAGCCGCCTTCTGCCTCCCTGCCCTTCTCTCTCCCTCCTCCCCTGTCGCCACCCCCCCAAACCCCGTCTCCCCGCATCCCATCTCTCTCTCCTTAGTTCACTCTTTCTCTCTCCATCTCTGTGTCTTTCTTTCTGTGTCTCTTTTCCCCCTCGGGTGCATCCCCACCAACCCTCAACCGCGCCCCCACCCCCATCCCACCTCCGGCCCGCTCTGGTCTCCTTCTGTGTGTCAGGTACAAGTTACTGAACCAGGAGGAGGGCGAATATTACAATGTGCCGGTGGCTGACGCTGACAACTGCAGCCTCCTCCAGAAGTTTGAGGTACTCGGGCCCCACTTCCCCCAGGGGGAGTCCAGCCCTGCACACACAGTTCAGAGCGGCTGGGTGCCCAGGGGTCCTGGGACTACAATTCCCAGAAGGCCCTGGGGATCCTTCTCCTGCTTTTCTAGGGGACTCTTGCCCCAGGGTATGATGGGAATTAGAGTTCCTATCCATTCCCATGGCTTGGGGCTTTGGAGTCCCCACCCTCTGTTTTAGGGCAACCTCCTACCTCTCTGGGGCCTCTGACTCTGGCTTTCTTCTCCCCCAGGCCTGTAACTACCCCCTGGAACTCTATGAGGTGAGTAGAGCTCAGGCCTGGAACGGAGACAGTTTCATTCCTGTGGTCTGCTTGTCTCTTCCCACGTCTCCCTCCCCTGGAATCTGGCCGGGCACAGACTTGGCGGCTGGTGTCGTGCTTGCTGAGTTAAACCTAGCACCCCAAAGGGGAACCTGACCCTTAAGCAAGTCCCACAGTGACAGATACTTAAATTCCAGGATGATGTACTGTATCAGAGGTGCCCCAGGCCACAGAGAAGCCTAGAGGAGGCACCAAGCCAGCCTGGGGTATGGGGATGGCTAGGGAGGGACTTCCCTGAGGAAGCTACACCTGACTGATCCTTGAGTTTTTCTGTTTATCTCTGCGGCCTTCTCTCTTCCATTTGTTTTCTCACTCACTCACACCTATTTCCTGAGGTGTCGCAGAAGCTAAAACCTGTTCTGGGGGTAGAATCAGTCCATTCCCTGGGGAGCTCCAACTTTAAAGTAGGAGAAAGTTACATAGAGAGACATCCACCAGGAACGAATGGGTTTGGTAATGGAGGTAGTAGCCTCAGGCCCTGGGGAGTACTGGAAGCACAGCCTGGGAGAGCCAGAGACAGCTTCTTAGGGGGGTGGTGAATCCAGTAGGAAGTGTAGGATTTTCCAGGCACAGGAGGGGGAGACCAGATTTCCAGGCTGAAGGATGGAAAACCTTCCAGGCAGAGGGAAGAGCAGGCACAAAGGCCCTGTGGTAGGAGCAGGCTGGGAGTATTACAGCAAGGAGGACAACGGGCTGAAGGGGGACAGGGTGTGGAAAAGTAGGAAATTAAATCAGAGAGGGAAGGGGTGTGACTTGTCATTCACTGGAAGGATTGTAGCTTTTAAACTGGGTGAGATGGGGTGGGAGGGTGGGAGCATCAAAGGTGGCCAGAGGTGGTTTCCGTCTGAACAGGACAAGGCTCTGTGTGGAGAATAGAAAAAGAGGCGGAAGGGGAAGTGGGGAGGAGGCTCTGTGGAGACTCGGGTGGGAAGAGCTGGAAGCAGTGGTGGGAAAGGTGTTCAGACTCTGGGTGTGCTCTCAAGGTTGCACAATAGGAAATGCATGCGCATCGTGGAAGCCTTTCATCCATTCAGCGCTCTCTGCGCTGGGTGATGCTGAAGACACAAAAAGGAGGCAGACAGTCTCTGGCTTTCATGGATTTTGAATTCTGGCTCTGCTCTTTAATCTGTGTGACATTGGGCAAGGTATTTGATATCTCTGTGCCAGTTTCCTCTTCTCAAAGTGGGGGTGGGGTAGGGGCACCTGGTGGGCTCTGTCCGTAGAGTGTGAGACTCTTGATCTTGAGGTTGTGAGTTGGAGCCCCACGATAGGTTTAGAGAGTACTTAAAAAATAAAAAATAAAATGGGGGGTGCTAACAGCTTATCTAATGGCATATAGTAATCTGTCTAAGTGTTATTTTAATGATCAGCCCTCCAGGCTGTGGAAAATCGGTGCAAGGTCTTACGCCAAGAGGCGGGGGTGGGGGGTGGCAGAGACAACTTTCTTTTTCTGTCTCTCCCCATCCCTTTCATTCTTGGATGCTGTCTCTCTCAGGGGCATCTCCTTTTCCCCATCTGGAGTCTGATTACCTCCGGATCTCTCCCCTTTCTCACAGCGCGTGCGGATGGGTCCCTCTTCTTCTCCCATCCCTTCCCCATCCCCCAGTCCCACCGACTCCAAGCGCTGTTTCTTTGGGACGAGCCCCGGACGTCTCCACATCTCTGACTTCAGCTTCCTCATGGTTCTAGGAAAAGGCAGTTTTGGGAAGGTTGGATTCCTCGGGTTCTGGGGGGAAAGGGGAGGATGTCTTGGGGGGACATCAGATTCCTGGTCTTTGGGGAGGAACACTAGGCAACTGAGTCGCCAAAGAGGGCTTGATGGGACCCCTGAGTGCCCCTGAGAGGTCGGGCATAAAGACTGGGATGCTTTCAGGAGGGAGTGCTCAGCAAAACCAGAGTACCCGGTCCCCTGAGAGAGAGAGAGAGGAAGGACCGGGGATTCCCTTTCTCTGTGTCCCTGAAGGGGAGGGGCAGGAATCTGCATCTCTGGGTTCCTTCCCAAGATGGACTGGGCCTTTTGGACCTCTGTCCCTAGGTGATGCTGGCTGAGCGCAGGGGCTCCGATGAGCTCTATGCCATCAAGATCTTGAAGAAAGACGTGATTGTCCAGGACGACGACGTGGACTGCACCCTCGTGGAGAAGCGAGTGCTGGCCCTGGGGGGCCGAGGCCCGGGGGGCCGGCCCCACTTTCTCACCCAGCTGCACTCCACCTTCCAGACCCCGGTAAGAAAGGAGGGGTGGAGAGGCTGGCTCGGGTCAGACTTCCGCGCCGGGATTCTGAGACTACGCGACGCCAAGAACCTTCCGCACGCTGAGTGGGCGTGGCCAGAGGGCTGGGGGTCTGGTGGGCGTGGCCTGCACCCGAGGGGTCTCGGGTGGGTGTGGTCTGAGCCGAGGAGTTTGGAGTAGAGGGAGCGCGGGAGGAGGATGGCTTCCGAGCGGCTGCCAGCAGCTGGCTCCACGGAACGAGGTCGTCCCGCTCGGATACTGAGGGAAGGTCTCGTCAGACACGGGGCGCTCCCTCCAGTTCGTGGGGTGGGGCAGGGAGTGAGAACCGCCCGAGTTGGAGAGGGCGCGACTCCTTCAAAAAGCTCTGGAGAGACGTAGCCAGCTTCTTGGATTTCGAGAATCGTTATCGTGCATTGCAAGCGGGGCCGAAACACCGCTGGTTCCCTAACAGATGGTCGGGGTCGCGTTTGCACGCGGAGGTGCGCGGAGAGGCGGCGGCGCCCCTGGGATTTCCGGGGAATGGCGGGCCTCGGTCTCCATTCGCAGAGGGCGGGGCCAGTTCGGAGTGGCGGGTGGAGGGGCAGGTGGAGATTCTGGGGGGCAGGCTTGAGTCCTCAGACCGCCCAGCCGCTCTGGGTTTCCGATGCAAGTTTGTCTGGAGTGGGCGGGAACGGATCCGTCCTACCCTCCGGTCCGCGTGTCCCCTCCACTGAGCCACACCCCTCCGCCCGCCCCAGGATCGCCTGTATTTCGTGATGGAGTATGTCACCGGGGGCGACTTGATGTACCACATTCAGCAGCTGGGCAAGTTTAAGGAGCCCCATGCCGCGTGAGTCTTGGCCAAGAGACGAGGAGGGGTGGGGGAAAGAGGGCCCCAGCCTTTGACCTCTGGCTCCCCGACCCCTTCTCCAGGTTCTACGCAGCGGAAATCGCCATCGGCCTCTTCTTCCTTCACAATCAGGGCATCATCTACCGGTGAGTGGTCTGGCCTTTCACTGGAGGCCAGCAGGTCCCCAAGAGGGAAAGGGATCCAACAGGCGGCTCCAGGGGCACCTGGCTGCCCAGTGGGTAGAGCGAGGGACGGGTGATCTCGCGGTCAATCGTGAGTTCAAGTCCCGCCTTGGGCGAAGAGCTTACTTTAAAAGAAAACACATAAACGCTTGCCGCCCCAGCTTCTGGGACTCCACCCTTCCCTCAACTCCTCCCCGTCCTGCCTCCCACCCCCAGGGACCTGAAACTAGACAACGTCATGCTGGATGCCGAAGGACACATCAAAATCACTGACTTCGGCATGTGTAAGGAGAACGTCTTCCCGGGGACCACGACCCGCACCTTCTGTGGGACCCCAGACTACATAGCCCCTGAGGTAGCCTCCCTCTGTCACTCTTGCTGCCCTCCATTGCCCGCTGGGGGTGGCTGGTTGGTTACCACTCAGAATGTGGGGGTCCTGCCCCTGCGGTCTTTACCTGAGTCTTGGGGGGTCTAGCAGCAGGCAACGCAGAGGGGCCCGTGTGCCCCACATTCCCAGTGGGCAGAGCTGGGTCTCTGAGCTGGCAATGTGGGTGGCCAGGTAGGTGAGTGTGCTAACAGAGTGGGACCCGCTGAGCTCCTAAGAATTCTCAGAGAGCAGGACCTGATACAGGACTATTCTAGACTATTCTAGAGGGTGGAGACAACTTCCAGTGTACTCTGAGTGGGTGGGGGCCATCCCCCCAGAGCCCTGAGCTGTCCTCTGAATATTTCACATCCGGGGAGTATACTCTGACTTTGTTAAGGGACTGGAGCTAGTGATCTGACCATGTATAAGGAGACAGAGGGTCCTGACTTTTCTCAGTTGAGGGAGGAAGTGGTATTGGTGGTGCCATTCTTAATTTCTCAGGGTGATTCAGCGCTAATGCCCAGGTAATCAGTGTCGATGGTTTCAGGACCTGTGGAGATTTTGAAAAACACACACATATTTCTGACTGACCTATTGAGGCTGGAAGTCTTAGGGCTAGGAACAGCCTCCTAGATTTAAGTGCATCAGATTTAAAACTCTCTGGTCTCTGAAATTTAGCCCTTAGTTACCCTCCCCTTAAGAAGAAGGTCTGGTTACCTAAATATTCGAGCTGATTGGAACTTTTGACTTGGTCCTTAGATAGTCTTTATTTTGGGGACCAAAGGAATGTTCTACATAGGTAAATTTTATATCTGAATTTTCCAAAAAGATGGAGCTCTGGCCTAAGTGTTCTGAGTGGGAAAGTTTGTGTTGAAAACACTTAACGTGGGTAGGGTTCCCAGGGGGCGAGGCCAGAAGGGGTCTTAGGCTTCTTGAAGCCCAAACCATGATTCCTTGACTCCCACCCTTCCTCACCAGATCATTGCCTACCAGCCCTATGGGAAGTCTGTGGATTGGTGGTCCTTTGGGGTTCTGCTGTATGAGATGCTGGCAGGACAGGTAAGCGAAGGGGGGGGGCGGAGAGGCTGGCTTGGCTAAAGGCAGCACCACGTGGGACGCCCCCTGTCCCAGGGCCTTTATCTCAAAGGAGCAGGTTAGGAAGGGATGTCTGCCCTGCCTGGATTGTGCTGTCCTTGGTCCTGAAGCATTATTTTCTCACAGGCCAGAGGTTCTTAAAAGTTTCTTGGCGCCAAGGACCCCTTCTCAGAACAAAGTGTTTAAATACATGAAATAAATTAATAGGATTACAAAGGAAACCAATCGCATTGAAATGGCTATCAAAACAAAAATTTTAATTTAACAGTTCAGCCAGCTAGATAAATTTAATTTAAAAGTATACAGTTAAGTAAATATTAAGCACTGGGATGTGGACACGTATGTGATTTCCTGTTAATGAACTAAATACTATTATCTCACAGTGACGGGATATAACCAGGAAGGTCTACCAGTAATCTTGAAGTTGAGATGACTAACATTTTGAGAAATCTGCAAATCTAATGTGCTAAGAAAATATCTGTGATTTCTGTTGGTGATGAAGTCACAAGTACTAACACTGTGGTTTTTGCCTACATTTATACAGGAATGTTAAATTTCAGTTAGAGATTTTTAAAAAATAAGGATGTACTTTTTTCCCTGTTCAAGCTCAGGGACCCCCTCAGTTGTATAAACAGACTTCCTAGACCCCACATGAAGAATCCTTGCCTTGGGAGGCGCCTGGGTGGCTCATTTGGTTAAGCATCCGACTCTTGATTTCAGTTCAGATCATGATCTCAGGGTCCTGTGTTGGGCTCCATGCTGGGCATGGAGCCTGCTTGGGTTTCTCTCTCTCTCTCTCTCTCTCTCTCCCTGCTCCTCAGTCCTCCCCTCCCCTGCTCCTGCAGGCTCTTAAAAACAAAAAAAGAAAGAAAAAGAAGGAAAGAAAGAAAGAAAAGAATCCTTCCCTTGGCTTTGCTTTTCCTAATCCCAGAAGACTGGAAGCAACTCATTCAACCCAGAGAATGATTTTACAGTTTTTTTTTTTTTTTAAGACTTTTATTTATTTTACAGAGATCACAAGTAGGCAGAGAGGCAGGCAGAGAGAGGGGGAAGCAGGCTCCCCGCCGAGCAGAGAGCCCGATGCGGGGCTTGATCCCAGCACCCTGAGATCATGACCTGAGCCGAAGGCAGAGGCTTAACCACTGAGCCACCCAGGTGCCCCTACAGTTTTTTTTTTACCTGTATTTTTTATCTCTCTTCTATTTAAGCGACATATTGTCTAATTAATGTCCTGCTGATTTGCATAGCAGAGAAAGACAGAACAGCAAGGAGGTGCAGAGAACTGGTGCATCTGAGATAGGAAAGCGGAGAGTCTGAGAGAAAAGAGAGAAATCTTTGGTCGCTTGGTCCAATTTTTCCCTAGGATGTTGGAGGGGGGTGTTCGTGTTCATGCTGGGTGATGAGGGTGTGGAAGCTGGGGAGGGCCAGTTTGTCAAGTCTCTGACTCTATGCCTCTATTTTCTCAGCCCCCTTTTGATGGGGAGGATGAGGAAGAGCTGTTTCAGGCCATCATGGAACAAACTGTCACTTACCCCAAGTCGCTTTCCCGAGAAGCCGTGGCGATCTGCAAGGGGGTGAGAGCCCCCTGACCCCCAGAGTCTCCAGACAACCCCTGTGCCCCACCACCACCATCCTGGGCTTCCCATACAGTGGCTCTGTGCTCATTAGAAAAAGGCTCCCACCCCTGAAGTTACTGCCCTTCCATCTGCTGGAAAAGTTTGTATCATACAGAGATGTCATTAGAACACTGATGGACTGCCCTGCTGTCACCTCTGGTCCAAGGATGGCCTCTAGCCTCCTCCCCCTGCAGCACCCACTCCCCAGCTCACTGCGGGCAGTGCTGGAAGGCCAGGGCCTTCTTCTCCAGAACCGGGTGGGTCAGGTGAACCTAACTCTTGCCACTTCTCTTCCTGTGGGATCTTGGGCCAGCCACCCAAACTCCGGGAGCCTGCCTCCTCTCCCAGGGTTATGGAGTTAGTGCAGGAGAAAGAGCCTAGCCCGTGGCAGCTTTTCAACAAGCATTAGCACCCTTCTGCTTCCGGCTCCTGTCTCCATTCTCTCTGACTGTCACTCTCTGGCTTCTGTCTCCTACCTCTGCCTCCATCTACATTCGATGGGGCTTCCTGTGTCTGCACCTTTTCTCTGTGTCCCTGGGGATCTCCATCGACCTCTCGCATCTTTGTGCCCCTCTCTCTGGGTGTCTATTTCCCTCCTACCCCCAACTCCCATACACACATGCTCTGAATCTCTGTCCTCTTTCTGGAACTCTCCTCCTCTCTTTCTGAGTCTCCGCCTTCACATTGTGTCTTTTCCCCTCTCTCTGGGGGTTTGTCTGCTGAATCTCCATCTTTTCTTTCTGCGTCTTATCTCCCACCTTCTCTGGGTCTCTGCCGGTCCCCTGGGTCTCTATCTCCCCCTCGGGCTCTCTATTCGCCCTTTGCTCTGGGTCTCCAACTGCTGTCTCTCTCCCTCTCCCTCCCTTCATCTCTCCCTCTTCCTCTCCTTCTCTCTTTCCCTCCAACTTCTCTTTCGGGGATTCTTTGCTGTGCCCTTCCTCTTTCTGGGTTTCTTGCCCCTCATACCTTGATGTTATGATTTTCCTCTTTCTCTGTCTGTCCCCGGGTCTCTGGGTTTGGAGTTCATCCATCTCATTCTCATTTATTCTCCCCCACTCCTCTTTCCCCCCACCTCCCCCACTCTGTTCCCCCTTGCTCTCCTCTCTCTGGGTCTCTATGCTGTGTCTCTGTTCTTCTGTTTTTGTCTTTCTCTCTTGCTCGTTCTCTGTGCCTCCCTGTCTGGGACTCTGTCTGTCTGTCTGTCTCTGTATTTCCCACAGTTCCTAACTAAGCACCCAGCGAAACGCCTGGGCTCAGGGCCCGACGGGGAGCCCGCCATCCGTGCTCATGGCTTTTTCCGCTGGATGGACTGGGAGCGCCTGGAACGGCTGGAGATAGCGCCTCCTTTCAGACCCCGTCCGGTCAGCCACCTTGCGGGAACATTCTTGGCCCTTCGGGTTGGAGGGGGTTGGGGTGGTACCCAAGAGCTCCAGTTCCTATATGTGGAGGTGGGGTGGGGGTCCCTCTGTGGAGACGCCCTCACGGGGTATGCAGAGGCCATGAAGGATGTGCAGAGGTCCCAAGCGAGACAGGAGATGGACGGAGGGGGACCCGGAGGGACACCCAAGGAGCGGAGAGAATTTCATCTTTCCCTCCCTGTGCTCCCCCCAAGTGTGGACGCAGCGGCGAGAACTTCGACAAATTCTTCACGCGGGCGGCGCCCGCGCTGACCCCGCCGGACCGCCTAGTTTTGGCCAGCATCGACCAGGCCGACTTCCAAGGCTTCACCTACGTGAACCCGGATTTCGTGCACCCCGACGCCCGCAGCCCCGTCAGCCCACCGCCTGTGCCAGTCATGTAATCTCTCCTGCCGCCACTAGGTGTCCCCACCGCTCCCTCCCCAGGCCGGCCTTAGCCCCCTGTTCACCCCCTTCCCACTCTAGATCTGCTCCCCAGCATTCTCGCCTCTGCCCTGCGGGGGCCAGGCGCCCCTCCCCAGCGCTCCTGGCGTTCTAACCTCCGTACAGCCTCTAGAGCCGCACCGCGTTCTAGATTCTGCTGTGCTGAGCCCTGGGTTCTCCCGCACCTCAGTGTTCGGGACTCTGCTCCACCAGGTTCCAGAAAGGCCACCACTCTCCCAGTTCCACGGGGTTCTAGACTCCATTTGGGTAGAATCTGTGCCTCTCGTTTTTCTTTTTCTTTCCTCTTCTTTTCCTTCTTCCTTTCTTTTTCTTATTTATTTATTTATTTATTTATTTATTTATTTATTTATTTTCCTTTCTGGGAAATAGTCTCAAGGGGTGGGCTGTTCCAGACTTGGATTCCAGAATAACCCCCCACCTCCGAACTCCCCCAGCCCATTCTGGAGTAAGTGGGAGGCTGTGCCCCCATGCTCCAGTACTCCTCTTCTACACTCTAGGGATTCCTGGGATGTGTGAAGGATTCTTACCCCAGCTGTTCTCAATCAGCTTTTGTTCTAGACGCCCCCACCCTAAACCCATCGCTGCTCGCCTGCCAGGTGCATGGCTCCAGTCCTGCTCGGAACCCCTCCTCCCTCCTGCTCTCCCCCCGCCCCACCCCGTGCCTGCCACTCTCCGGGACTCTCTCCTCCTCCCTGCGCCCACTCTTCTCTGGCTCTCCCACCCGGCCACAGCTGCCGGAGAATAAATTTGGGATGCTGATGCTGAAGTGTTTGGATGTTTTCTTCTAAGCGCGCAGAATGAAGGGGGTGTGGAGGTGGGCCGGTGACTGTACACGGAAACACACACACAGAGGCTGCGGGGCGGGGCGGCAGCGAGCGAGGGAAAGCACAGAGACCCAGAAAGTGGGGAGAAGGTAGCCACAGCGCCGGAGAGAAAGAGCAGAGGCCGGGCGTGGGGGGAGGCGTGAGTGCAGCCGCGAGGACCCAAGTGGGCACGTGCACAAGGAGGTAGAGGTGAACACACAGACCACGGGGAGTGTCAGGGAGAGACCCCCGGCCCAGAGACACAGGCATGCACCTACTCACCCAGAGCCCTACCCAAGCTCCCAGACCCACACTGAGACCCAGAGACTGGGGCGGGGGAGGGCGCAGTCCTGAGAGGGGAGATCAAAGGCTGGCCTCCTATTGAGAGACCTGGAGACTCCACGACAGAGAAACCAGACAAGCAGAGCCCACGAACTTAAGAGTCAGCCAGCGAGCCAGAAGACGGGCCTCTTCGCCTTGACCCAGTTGCGGGGGTGGGGGTGGGGGGTGTGCGCGCAAAGAACAGTCCCAACAGACTACAGTTCCCAGCAGACACCGCGGCGGACCCTTCCCCCCCAAGTGCGGCCCCTCACCGCCAGGGCTGATGGAAAATGTAGTCCCGGACCCTGGCAGGCCAGTTGAATGGTGTGTCTGTGTCTGTGTGTTTGGAGGGGACTGAGCCCCAAAGATTCGCAGGCTCCCTCGGGGAGCCCCGGCATCTTTTCGTCTCTGCAGGCTCTTGGGTTTCCGGGACTCAGCCCAGTTGGATGCTGGGGCTCCCCTTGGATCCCACAGCACCGTAGCAGTAACCCCCGTGCTCTGCCCGCCGCCCCCAGCCCCCGCTCCGACCCTCGGCGGGCGGCCTGCCCCTTTAAGAGTGGCCCCGCTGACATCACGGCGGGGGGGGGGGGCTGGCCCGGCTCCCGGCTCCGCGGCTGCTGCAGGACCCGGCTCCGCTCTGCGCCCGCCTGCTGCTCTGGGGACCCCGGCCCGGGACGCCCCCTCCCGCCTCCTCCAGCCGCCCAGACCCCAGGCTCCGCCCCAGACCTGGCCAGAGCCCCAGTCCTTATCAGGGGAGCCCCAGGATTGCCCCTGCTCTCTCTCCTTCTCAGGGTGTCTCTCTCCCCCTGTCTCTCTCTGTGTCTGTCTCTTTCCCTAGCTCAAGGTGTCTGGGTCTCAGCATCTCTCAGCCCAGGGCCTGTGAGCGTCTCCCTGTCTCTCTGTCTGTCTCTCTCTGACCTGTCCACTTCCAGAGCCCCAGAAGCTCTGAGCCCGAGGACAGCGGGGTCTTAGACCTGATCTCTGCCTCTCCTTCTCTCTCTCTGTCTCTTTCAGGCCCCCTCTGTGTTTCCCCCAGTCGCCAGACCTGCGAGTCTCAGCATTCCTCAGCCTCGAGGTCTCGGTGGGAGTCTAGATCCTCGGCTCTGTCTGTCTGCCTCTCTGGGTGCCCCTGCCCCTCTCGGGCTCTCTGCCTCTGTTTCTATTCTCCTTCCCTCCCTGCCTCCCCCATTCTCAAGGCCCATCTCCCTCCCTCCTTGCAGCCTCCCCCTCCCTCTCCGCCCCTCCCCTCCTCCCCGCCCCTCCCCTCCTCCGCAGTAGCCAATGAGCGGCCGCGGGTCCCAGCTCCCGGCGCTGTCCGCCGAGTGAGGCCGCGGGCGCGGGGGGTGGGGGGTGGGAGGCCGGGAGGGGGCCGGGACGCCGGGCTCCGGGGCGGGGGCGGGGGGCGCGGGCACCGGCGACCCCGGTGGCGGCGGCGGCGGCCGGGGGAAGCCGCGGGGCCGGTCATGCGGCTGCGGGGCCCGCGGCCCGGAGCGTGCGCCCAGCCCTGAGCGAGGTGAGCGCGAGGGGAGGGTCCTGGAAGGAGTGGGGGCTCCTCTTGAGGTGGCTGGGAGCCGGGGGTTGGGGCTAAAAGGGGTCTGAGGGCCCCGGGGTGTGGGATTCTGGCGGTCAGGACGCCCGAGTTCGGGAGGCAGTGGGGGGGGGGGGGGGGGGCAGTGGGGCGGGGGGATCCGGGGGGGCGGGGGCCGGGGGGGCGGGGGCCGGGGGGGGGGGGGGGGGGGGGGGGGGGGGGGTGAGGGGACATTGGGCCTAGGGAATCCGGGAGGACGGGGTCCTAGAGTCCTGGAGTGGGGCTCCAAGACTCTTCATGTCCGAGTCTTAGGGACCGTGGGCCCTGAGGAGGGTGCCGGCCAGGTCCTTGAGGGAGGCGGTCCTGGAGGAAGGGGGGAGGGCCCGGGCCCGGTGAGAGCAGGACATGTCTGAGAAGGGGTCCCCAGAAACGGGGAATACGTTCCCGAAGAGATTGGAGGGAGACGGAGTTTGGAGGCTTGGAGAATGGGACTCCTGGGATCCGAATCCCTGAATCAGGAGAGGTTGCATTAGATAAAGAAGGGTCAGAAGGTGGCTCCAGGCCTGGGGGAGGGTCCCAAAGGAGGAAGGGCTGGAGGAGAATGAGGAGATCTGGGCGGGCCATTTGGAGTGAGAAGGAATCGGAACGAAGAAGGAGGGGGTTTCAAAGGGGAAGTAGAAAGGTGTCAAGGGGCAAGGTCCCAGCTGGGAGTCCAAGGAGCCCCCCGGGGGGGGGGGGCGGGTGCGGGGGGAGCTGAGGTCAGCTACTTGGGACCAGGCAATCGGGGTGACTGGGTTTTCGATGCTTGTTTCCGAGCTGAGCGGGCTGGAACGGGAGGCAGCTGGCGGTCAAGCCTTGGGACGGGGGATGGGAGGAAAAGCTGGTCAGAGCTCTGCCAGACTCGGATCCCTGACTCCTCCAGGAGGCTGGGGGGTGGGGCCTGGTGGGATGGGGGCTCTCGATGCTGAGGGGTGGGGGAGGGGCGGGGGTGATGAAAGTTGTCTGACTCCAAGATCCTTACTGGCATGGGGCAGAGTTTAAGGCTCTGAGAATTCCGATTAGTCAGGTGTCAAGTCTTGGCTGCATTTTTGGGGAGTGTTTTCGGGTCTTAACCTTCATAGTTAGAAAAGATGATGGGGATTACTGGTATTCAGGGATGGTCTTTGGCTGAGATAAGATGAGATAGAATGGAGATGCCAAGTTGAGTCCCGCAAATTGGAATTGTGCAGTTTGGGGAAAAGTTGGGGGGGGGTCAGGGTGGTAGATAAGAGATTAGGAGCTCCCGGGTTAGAATCTCTAGATATTTGACTGGAATTCGCAAGGCCACAGCTATGAACTGGGGTTCTCTTGTTTTGAGGGCCTAGTGTTAAAGGGGTCAGAGTTCCAGGCTAGATGTTGAAAATAGTTTTGTAATTGGGAGTCCTAGCATGTAAGTTGGAGTCCAAAATCTCTGATAGGGAATTTGGGGATCTTGTGATGGCCAAGGGGGATGAGGAGGATGAGGATCCTGGGCTTCCTGATTTGGGATTTTAGGGTTCAGAGCCCTGATCCCTAGTTTCAAGGATGGCCTAGGGTACTCTGGTTAGAGTGCTGAGTTAGAGGGGAAGGGGATCCCAGATCATGGTTTTGACTTTCTGGAATCTCTAGCCAAAATCCAGGCTCCAGGTCTCAGGGTCCCAGTGTCCTGGGATCCAGGACAGTCCCAGCATCAGGGCCCTGCCTGGATCTGGGATGGGGGGAATTCAGGTTCTGAAACCTGAGATCTGAGTCATGAGCCACGATCTCAGATTGAGGTACCAAATTAAGGTCAAGGCACAGGATCAAAGTTAGAAGGTCATGGGTCACAGTCCTGGTGTTAGGCTTAACTATTAAAGGTCAAGATGAGAGTCCAAGGGTTTACACCTAGGTTTAGACCTCTGCTCAGGTCTTGGTTAGTAGGTCCTTGATTAGTAGGACCCTTAGGGTTCTGGTTAGTGACCTACTTAGGGGATTTCTGATAGTTATTTAGCAGAGTCCAAAAGAAAGGGGCCAGGGTGCCAGGAGGCAGGATTGGGGAAATCTGCTTGGTTCCAGTATTGAAATGCCTGATCGGTGTAATAGTTTTTGAGCCCAGGCTCAAGGTTAAGGATTCTGGGGAGGTCTGGTGTCTAGGGTTAAGGTCTCTGGTCAGGGTGCAAGGTGAGGTCTGGAGGGCCTACTTCTGGCATTGAGAATATGGAAACTGAGTTCCTATTCATAGTTATGAAGTTTGGGACCCAGGTCCAGCACATGGTTGGAGCTAAGGTTCAGTCTGTGGGTCTGGGCTGCAGGTTAGGGTTGGAAGGCTGAACCTGGGGTCGGGGATCCAGTGTGGTGCCTCTCATCAGGACCAAGAGCCAGAACACAAGTGTCAGATTTGGGAAGACCAGTTCTGGGGTTGAGGGTCAACAGCTGATGTCACCGGTTCAAATCCAGAAATAGGGTCATGGGTCAGGGCACAGAGGTCAGATTTGAGAAGTTTTTAGTTTTTAGAAATGGTGTCTCTGGCTTGGGGTCGGTGTCCCAGGTGGCTGCATGGAGTTGGGGACTCTAGTTAGTCCCAGCAGGGCTCTCCAAGGCCGCAGCTTCTTCTCGTGTCTCAGGCCCCGCAGGGCGCCCCCCGCCGCTGAGGATGAGTCACTGCAGCAGCCGCGCCCTGACCCTGCTGAGCAGCGTGTTTGGTGCGTGTGGCCTGCTGCTAGTGGGCATCGCGGTCAGCACTGATTACTGGCTGTACATGGAGGAGGGAACGGTGCTGCCGCAGAACCAGACCACGGAGGTCAAGATGGCGCTGCATGCTGGCCTCTGGCGAGTCTGCTTCTTCGCAGGTACAGTCCCTACCTGTCCTCCATTCAGCTGTCCTTGACTTGCCTGGGACCCGAGGGTCCTTATTCACACTTACATCCCTCGGGTTCTGGAAATCCAGAAACTGACCCTGTTTCCTCTCCTGGGGAGGCAAATTTCTACCCGGAGACCCAATTTCTAGCCCTTTATTTCCTGGATCTAAGAGCCCCCATGCCAAGCCCCTAATCCCTGGAGAGTCCCCACTTAGAAGCAAAAGTCTAGCATCAGAGCTTGTCCCCTGAATAGTTCCAGTGTTGAATGGGCAGAATAAAGAATCCATGCCCTCCAGCGACCACAGAGACCCTCCTCCTTGGAACCCCCCTCCGGCCAATCCTCTTTAGGGATTCAGAAGTCCTGGCCCACAGCCACTCCTCATTGGGACCCGGGGTTCCAGCCCTGTCCTCCATCCATGGGTCTCCAGGGAAGCTCAGAAGAGGAGCTCCCAGACCTTCTGTGACCCCCCCCCCCCAAGAATAGTATAGACAGTAATTCCTGGATCAAGCCTCATATACCCATCCCGGGGTCTCCCCACGGTGCCATCTGCCCCTCATCCAGCTTTGCTTTCGATTCTTACCCCCAGGCCGGGAGAAGGGTCGCTGTGTGGCCTCGGAGTATTTCCTTGAACCGGAGATCAACTTGGTGACGGAAAACACGGAGAATATTCTGAGTGAGGGGAAGCAGGGGGCCTCGACAAAGGGGGGAGTCCTGGGAGAAAGGGCAGCACCAGGAAAGGGGTGGGGTGGAGGGGAGGAAGTGCAGTGGTTGGATGAGGAGGAGGAGCCAGGTTGAAGGAGCCGGGCCTGGGCAGTGGGTGGAGTCCACAGGAACGGGGTGGGGTCAATTTAAAGGGTGTGGCCTGGGTGAAAGGGTCAGCAATGAAGTATCGGAAGGGGAGGAGCCACACAAAGGGGCGAGGCCGTGCAAGGGGCGTGGCAGGTGTCACACACCCCTCCCAGTCCCCCCTCACCCCTTGTCTCTCTTTACCCTTCCTTCAGAGACAGTGCGCACGGCCACCCCATTCCCCATGGTCAGTCTCTTCCTAGTGTTCACGGCCTTCGTCATCAGTAACATCGGCCACATCCGCCCGCAGAGGACCATTCTGGCCTTCGTTTCTGGCATCTTCTTCATCCTATCCGGTGAGCTCAAGGAAAGGACTTAGGGCCCGGAGACTGTTTTCGGTTCTGGGAACCTGCGGTCCCTCCTCCACTAAGAAAGCCACTTCTTTGCTGTGTGACCCTGGAGGGTTTGCCCAACCTCTCTGAGCCCCACTTGTCTTCTCTGTGAAATGGAGATAGCAGTACCCATCTCACAGCTTGCTGGGGGGACCCCATTCTAGCGAATATTTATTAGGTGCTTATTAGGCTCCGTTCTGATACCACAGCCCTGTGAGGGGAATGCTCTTACAGTCCCATTGTGCGGATGTACAAACAGTCACTGGCTCAGGGCCGCGCAACCACAGAGACACAGAGCTGGGCTCACACACTTGCCATTCACCCCTCCTGATATTTTAGCAGTTAACGTACATCAAAGCTCTTTATTTCCTGCGCGAGATTTTATTTGAAAAATTTTCAAACAGAAAAGTGGAAAGCATTTTGGAGTGAGCTCCCATGTACCCACCGCTCCCATGTACCCTTACCCTGTGACTAGACTGGCTGTGTCCTGTGTCTGTCCATCTGTCCGTATTCCAGCCCACCTTATTATTACGTCTTTATGTGGTTCAGTGTGAGTTGTGTCATACGCTTCACCCTGAATATGTCACCTTGTGTGTCATTAGCTACTTTTCAGTCTTTGTCTTTTCTTTTATCTTTTGAGAGATGAAGCTCTTGTGCGTGAGCGATCTCACACCTTCCCGTAACATCTCTGCTGCTGAGTTATTATTAGAACTCACTTGATAAAACGGGGGCACCGAGGCCCACAGTTGTGCAGGGAGTTGCCCAAGACACCAGCCTGAGCTGGAGGGGCGGGGGGGAGTAAGTGGGGGGGACCGAGTGTCCTGAGCTCCCGAGCAGAGTTCTTTCTCAGGCGTCACCCCCCTCCAGTATCAGCACTATCTGGTCCAATTCGGTCCCTCTCGGCTCAGGTCAGGCCAGGTCAGCCTAGGCCTAACACATTTAACTCATCCATCCGGTCCATTCTGACTCCGTTCAAATTAATTCAACATCATTTCATCAAACTCCGGTCACGTCCTCTTCATCCAGTTGATATTTTATGAACAAACCCCGCTTCCAGCTGGCTTCCATACTGTCCCTTGGGGCCTGCACCCAGGTCCCTCTCTAGAATTGGCAAAGGGTTGAACGTCCCTGCTCCTCAGCCAGCTAAACCTCCCCTGCATCTCCAGCCTAACCTGACGAGACCTTTTCTAGAGAAACGAGGGTGCAACCTCCCAGTAAACTTGAATCGTGGTGTGTGGAGCTAAAATAAGACACGTACGATATCACCATCCCAGAGCGTCGGACTGGAAAGGTCTCATCATTTTTCATACGGAAAAATAGTGGCCTAGAGAGAGAGAAAGTGGGACAAGGGTAGGAAGCAGGGAGACTCTAATTCAATCCACCCAAAACACTAGAAGGAAGATCCCATTGTTTGCTGTTCGCAGAAGGGGCAACATAGCTCCGTGGAGGAGGGGCTGTTGGCCCAGAGGGTGTTCCCATCCCAAAACCCAAACTCACGCTCCCGCGATCCTCTAGGCCCTGACTTCCCAGGGCCACACTGAGGATCAATGGTGCTGTCGGGACTGGATGTCAGGCCTCTGATGTAACGATAGAGAAATTTAGGGGGATTGAACCCTACTTCCGGAAGCCCTTCCTCGAGTTCATGTCATAGACTATGGCCCGTGCGTCCCACTTCAAGGAGTCTGTCATGTGCTTTCGTGGTTCCGAGGTATAGTGATTGATGGTTCATGCTATTGCGAACCTAGAAAGACCTGGGTGCGAATTCTTCCCCTTAACTGCATAGTCTCTCCATGGTCCTGAAACCCTATTTTTCTAATGCCGGATTGTTTCCATTCAGCCTAGCAAGTAGGTGAATCTTGCCTACTGTGCAGTCCTGAGACAGAGGTGGGGTGAGAAAGGAGAGGGAGTGGAAGTTGAATTACAGAGAAAGGAGAGGGGAAATGAGCCTTCGTTTGTGGAGTTGTCTAGAGGACAAACCCTGGTCTAGGGTCGGCAGACCTGTGTAGGGCCGAAGAGTAAGTATTTCAGGCTTTGTGAGCTGTAGGATTATAACATGAAAGGAAGCAGAGGTGCAGCGATGGGTGTGGCTGTGTCCCAGTGACCCTGCTTATGGGCCCTGGAATTTGAATTCCATGTAATTTTCATGACCACGAAATGTTCTTCTTCCTTTGTTCCATCCTCCACCCCAACCCCCTGCACCTTTTACAGATGTAAAAACCATGCTTAGTTCGAAAACCGTGCAAAAACAGGTGCCGGGATATGTGGTCGTTTGCTGACCCCTGGTCTCCTCACAGATGTGAAGGGCTGACCCCGTGCTCAGTAAAAACGTACATTTGTTCATTCACAGTTGTAGTGACAACAGCAACCAAAATAATACACACTTGGTTGAGTGCCATGGTTGGGGGAAGCTCTAAATGCTTTACGTGAGGTCTTTGTCTTTATTTCATAAGGCAGATGTCGTTGTTGTCATTCTCCAGGTGAGGAAGCAGAAGCACCCAGAGGTTAAGTTGCTCCAAGGTGGAAGGAGGATTCCCACCCAGGCCTTCCCTGTGGCAATATACTGTCCCACCACAATTAAATGTCATCAAAAAATGGGGGGCCTGGTTGGCTCAGTCAGTAGAGCATGCTACTCTTGATCTCAGGGTCATGAGTTTGACCCTGACATTGGGTGTAGAGATTGCTTAAAAAATAGGATAGTAAATAAGAAATAAAAAATTTTAAAAAATCATAAGAATGGGGGGGCACCTGGATGGCTCAGTCTTTTGAGCATCCAACTCTTGATCTCAGCTCAGGTCTTGATCTCGTGTCGTGAGTTCCAGCCCTGCATTGGGCTCCATGCTGGGCGTGGGGCCTACTTAAAAAAAAATCATAAAAAGGAAAGAGATTTATTTATATTTTCAGGATTTTATTTATTTGGGAGAGAGAGAGAGTGAGAGCATGAGAGGGAGAAGGGTCAGAGGGAGAAGCAGACTTCCTGCTGAGCCGGGAGCCTCATGTGGGAACTTGATCCTGGGACTCCAGGATCATGACCTGAGCTGAAGGCAGTCCCTTAACCAACTGAGCCCCCAGGCACCTGAAAAATGAAGGAGATTTAAAAGGAAAGGGAAGGATGACAGTACCTGCATCTTAGATCTGGGAACAGAATAATCTAGTCTAATCAGTTCGTGTTCCCAAGACTTGGAGAGAGAGACAGGAGTTGCCTAAGGGCTGGTAAATAGTGGCATTGGCATTCAGTTCTGAAGAAAGCGGTGGGAGGGTTGGGGCAGAGGAGGAACAGGGTCACACCTGGGATTTAAGCATCTTCAGGGATGGACAAGCAGGAAAGAGATGGGAAATGGGCAAACCAAGGAGGAAGCTTACGCAGTGGTCTGGGCACGAGTAGCTGGGGCTGGGGCTGGAAAGATAAAAGCAAGTGGATAGCTTTGACAGAGAAGGATATTGACAGAAGAATCAATGGAACCAGATGACTGGCTGGATGTGGTTGGCGAGAGAAGCAGGGAGGAGGCTGGAATGACATTGACTCTCTTTTTCCAGGTCAGAAGAAGCATGTTTCCCATGCAAAGCCTGTCCTAACCTCTGCCCCTCAACACGTCCTTTGCATGTGCACTTTCATTTGCTCCTCAAGCATTTACACAGACATCCTACATTGTGTGGCCCTGCACTGAGCACTGACTATGTGGCTGAATCCTAGGTGAATGCTCACATCCAATCGATGACAGAACAGCTCCAGCCACCTGTCCATCAAAACTACACACCTGCTTCAATCCCACTGCACGTGTGCAAACTCTCCATGCTAGCTTACAAGGTTTTCTAGGATTTAGTTAATGCTCAGATCTCTGACCTCATTTTCTAACCCACTAACACTCTCTCCATTGCTTACAACCTCAGCCACACTGGCCTCCTTCTATTCCTTGAAAACGCTCATCTCAGCCCCACATGAGGACTTTACACTCATTAGCCCTCCATGCCTGGAAGTCTCTTCCCCCTGATACTCAAAGGGCTCAAACTTTCTCTCTTCAGGGTTTCTTTCTGTGACCACAGTATGTAATGTTGCCTTGTCACTTTGCACGCTTTGTATTTGATTCATAGTTATTGTCATGTTACACGTTTTCCATCTCCTGCTAGAATGTAAACTCCGACAAATATGGACCTTTACAAGCATGCTCGCATTTGTGTCTGCAGAGCCTAGATGAACTGAAGTATTTGTATAAGAGAGGAATGATAAGGACAACTTAGGGCATTCTGGAAAAGGGGAGGATGCATTCGCTTGGCACAGTCAGGTGGTGGAGAGGGGGGAATGACTTAGGAGGGCTTCCAAGAGGAGGTGGCGTCTGAGTAGATGAAGCTGAAAGGGTGAGGGAGAATTTTTCAAGCGAGGAAAGAATAGTGCCTTGTATGGAGGTGGAAATTCCAGCATCTGTTAATGCCCCAGAAAGTATGGAACACAGGTAGACGCATGTGCAGCTCTCCATGGTGCTGAAACCCCATTGTTCTAAGGCTGGGCTCTTTCTATTCAGCCTGGAATGTAGGTGATTCTTGCCTACTGTGCAATTCTGAAACAGAGGTGGGGAGAGGGGGAAGAGGGAGTAGGAGTTGGATTACAGAGAAAGGAAGGGAGAAAGGAGGGAGAAAAAGAGGAAAGGAGAAAAGGGGGGAAAGAAGATTATTTTTGGAGAACCAGAGCCACTATAAAATGTCCAAAAAATAGAAAGAATGGCAAGAATAACTTACCTTTTATGATTGTTTTCATGCGATTTTCAATTACTAAAAATAAAAACAAAAGCAACAAAGAACAGCAAATGTTCTTTCTCTTTGGAAATATTTGTTTCCTTATCAACTCTTGTCCCTGACTCACCTGGCAGAGACTGTTACTCAGAACTACAATGTGAAACATGGAGCTTAAGGTGTATGTTTGGGTGGTTAGCAGGAATCAGATCACAGCATCTAGAATGTGAGGCGGAAGA